TAAAAACTATAGGAATACATGGGCCGTGAAAGTTCAAAACTTCTTAAGCCCATATTCTAATCGCAAAGTTATATCTACATATGGCCCGACGCATCGATAGCATATATCACAATTCATGCGGTCACCAAAGTAATACGAAAATGTCACTCAATTTTGAGCATTATACGTGAGTCAAGCAAAAAGCACAAAACTCTCGTCTCTGTAGGACCGTCTATTTAGTGGATTGTTAAATTTTAGGACTGTCTCATTATAGGTCTGACCACAGAAATTTCTATGATTTGATAAAATTGCACCCTAGCTGATATATCACATTCGACCGGTCAACACTATTTATTTTTTATTTATGTATGCGTTATAATTATAAATATTATGATTACCAAATGATTATAATCGACATGTAACCTGGTATTAGTATTCGTATAAAATTTATTATGTCCCGCGTGTAACATATAAAATACAGTTATATTTTAAGGACACGACACCTGGCCTGCAATACACTTAGAATCCTTATCTAATTACTTTATTATTTATAGCACATATAATTTTGCCGAGGTCAAGTACGACTTCACATTCTTGTGTTTACATTTAATTATATGCGGTCAGGGCATATAGATCTATATCTTGTTTATATTTTTTCACGGTTGTAATGGCGATCGTACTACGACGACGCCTAGGAGTCGCGTCACAAACTAAGGCAGATAATCGGAAAAACCTGTCTATACAGGATAATTTATCTTCATTTGTGTTATCAAGAAGGCAACACCAAAAGTTAATCATTCATAGGTTAGCATATAAAGAAATAGGGTATCTCCTAAGTTCTCCATAAATCTTAAATATGGAGTCGAGTGTTTTAGTTTTAAAATGTGCTTACAGAATTTCAAATGCACTCGCTCAAGTATATCAAAATTTTCTTGTCCCCAAATTTCAGTCCCGTATCAAACAATGGGGACAATGGCTTTATCGAACATTTCTAGTTGTCATTCAATCGATAAATGATCCAACCTGCTCTTCCTAATAACACTGTACATAGCTTAAGTAGCTTGGTCTCGTAAATATTTCTTGGTTTTGAAAAAAAGATGCATTTCTAGAGAAAATAACACGGAGTTATTTTTTAACTATCTCTATCTCTTTATTTCCAATATAAAACTTCAAATTATTTGATATTCTGCCCCTCGAAAAATCCATAACTTTGGTTTTGTTAACATTGATTCTTAATTTCCATTTATAACAATACTGTGAAAAATTATTCAAAAGTAACTGTAAATCTGAACATGATTCGGCAAGCAAAATAGTATCACCGGCTTATAATAAAACAAACAGTTTAAGGTATATATTCAGCTCATTTTCAATATCCAATGTTAAAGATTGTACACCTTTAATGTTAACATTTTCTAAATACTGTTGCAAATCGTTCAAACATAAAGAGAATAACAGAGGAGAAATATTTTCCCCTTGTGGCACTAGCAAACATGTCAAATAAATTGTTATTATGTACAATACGTGATTGAACATCATCATACATATTTTTAAAAACTCTAAGAAATTTTCTTTTACATTATTCAAAAGGAGTTTATATAATAGAGAATTCCGGAGTACAAAATCAAAAGCCTTTTCAAAATCTACAAAAGCATAAAAAAGTTTGTTTTTCTTTTTAACACAGAGAAGTTCAAAACGTGCATATAAAGAAAAAAAGTATGATCAGTGGTAGAGTAACCATTTTTTGATTTTCAATTAATATATTTAATTCATCAACGAAAAACCCAAACCTGTCATTTAGAATAGATGTAAATATTTCCCCCAAGTACGACAATAAAGATATAAGTCTATATTTTTTGGAACTTATTTGCACCCCTTGTTCTTAAATATTGGTATCACATTACCAATAAGCCAGGCTTCCGGCAATATACCCGTATCAAAAATAAGATTAAACAATTTTATATAAATAATAATAATAATAATAATAATAATATTGTTTTATTAACTTAATAATTTATTTTATTAAAGTGTCACATACTTGTCTACAAATTTATATACAGCTTATATAATATGCATAGCACAGTAATAAAATAAGACAAATACCATGCCTGAATAGGCTTATGAGACACTATATATACAAATATATAAACTATTTTAAAAAAAAAACATAAAATACAAATTGTGAAACATAGTAAAATGTCAAAAATGTTGATTATCAGAATTTTTCACATTAAAAAAATAAAAAAAGTAAGACTTTGAATAAAAATGACACAACTGAGTATGGCGTAAAAAAAATACTTCAGAAACTTCATGTACCAAATTATTCATGCTATTTTTTGTGATATTTTTTGTATCATTATAAGCATTCATCTTGCCTACAACACGATCATCTTTATCTGTATCAATATTGTTTCTGTATTCATTTATTTTTTTCAATATTCATTTTCCAATCATATTTTTCTGTACAAAATTATTTTCAATGACATTATTTCTAATCAAGGAAATACAATCCATCTGTAATGATAAAGGTGAGTGCACATCAGAAAAAAGTTTAGAAAACTCACCATTTTCAAAATTGCTTACAAATTGTAGATATTGTGAGGTACATATAATATAATCAATAACACTATTGTTTCTTCTAGTAGGTTTTGCATTAACATCTATAAATACTTTGTTAGCTTTACAAACGTCTATTAACTTTCTGCCAAAGCAGTTAACTACATCATCTGGACTATTTCGTACTCTAGGTATAATCAAATCTTAAACTCATCCAATCATCTTCTAAGATCATCGGCAACCACACGTCGATTAAATAATTTTATATACTTGCCAAAGAATTGAGAAATAATTATACATGTCACCGGTACTCAGCTTTATTTACATGATAAACCTAATAATATGTCAAGGTAGAAAAGGGGTTCTATTCTGGGGTAGGCCCCCGGGGGTGGTTAACCATAATCATTTTTTCATTTGATCTGTTGTGCTGATCTCTTAAATCTGTACATCAATGAAGGCAAAAACGTTAGAGTGTTGTACATTGGATCTTTCTGTTGGCTTTTTATTTTCCTTCTTTACATTTTGTTTTTTCGATAAATGTTGTTTTAAGCTTTATTTTGGTTTTTATATGTCTGATGTTTTATACAATTTTGCAATAGGTATTGGTCTTGACCTTGTAATAATTGAAGCGTACAGTGCATATTTGAGCTCTTCTTCTAAACGTAAACCAAATACAGTCAGCGAAAAGACAAGTGAACTATACTGGCTCTAAATAAAAGAAATAGAAATAGAAAATAATCTAGTTTCACTCAATACAAATAATTACACTATACTGATTTAAAAAAAAACATTCAAATAAGATAGAAAGAAAAAAAAACTAAGTTTTAAGTGAAAATAAGTATGAATCGAGCAATTTCATATGAACGCAATATTTTGTGTCTAAATTTAGATGAGCTAAAATGAATTTGAAATTACATGAATTAGAGAAGTCTTTTTAGTTTTAACAATGGAATATATATCCTTTTTTTTTCCTTTGAATTTATGAATTTGGTCTTTACTGTAGTGAAACTTAATTTCAATGTTAGCTGCTTATAAATTTTGTAATTGTAAAACGTTTTTAAATTCCTCCATACTACTATGAATTAGTTTTCTCAGGAAAAAATATTATCGTGTGAATTTTTCGTAAAAGATAAGCATTCATAGAATACAAATTTTTAAAGCGACGTTAGGTGTCAAATTCATGTTTTACAAATTGACCAAACTCTCAAATAAGATTTATAACATACCAAAACGTATATTCAAATTACAAAAGTTCCATAGGAAGCAATTATCAATGCATGGACTCGTAATAAAAGTATCAACTTTTCGTACGTATTTGGGAGTATACGTCATCTTATCAAATAACGTTAAGCAACCAACAATCAATCAATCAATCAATCAACCAGAGACATAGCCTCCAAAGATTGCTAATGAGCACGTGATCCTGTTATAAATTATCACGTACAATAGTATAACTACGATTCTTATATAGATTTTTTTAAAATATATAAGAAGGATTTTCTTTTGCGGGCCAAATTAGTTAAACGAAACCGGTCTTTCTGCTGGCTTCCATAGTTCAACTTTCCGGCTAAAAAAATAACACTTTATAAATGTACTGCGCCCAAAGCGCATTTCTGGATATACCTTTATCAGGAACGCTAAAATTCTTTTCATAACTCAACATAACACTAATGTATCATCACAGTTTTGGGCTTGTTTTGACAAAATTAAATTGAACCAAACTGACTGCTACAATGCAATAGCGAATTAGCATTCAGTATTCCGTTCTTGTAGTAACTGATTGGAGCGAATAAAAAAAAAAAAAAAAAACTTTATTTCTTTCGACTTAAACTGTCAAAATCATAGTGAATGACGCTTTTTAAAGTCAACACTGCGAATTTCTAACTGACCGGATGCTACGAAGAACATGTAAGTAAAAATAATCGAAGTCTCGGGATTTTCATTTCTATTAGCTCATTGACGAACATACGTCTATGCGGCCTCTTTTTTCAATCCATTATAAATTATATGCGTACTTTCTCTTAATATATTTACTTTCAATGGTTTAACAAACATTGGCTATGCGAATTCACCATTTAGATCTGGTCATACATGTAGCTTCGACCAAAACTTATCCTTTATGTGCAACTAATTACGTTTCCACTTGATATATTAATACGGCAGTATTTTTTTATCGATTTCTTTCAAGAGAGATAAGTACATATCTCTTTAAGTGATTTTTCGTTTTCTTCTAATAGGTGGTGAGGAAGAATTAGCAGTTCTTGCTAACGCTAACGTTGGTACAATCGTATCTACAAGTGATCAAAATGCTACATTCCTATTTTTTTACTTGTAGACCTAGTGATTATTGTGAGAGAACTTACAGAACTGTATTAACTGTTAAATGTTTCTGCTACAAATGTATAAATGGCGTTTAAATTATGTATCCTACAGTGTTTACGGTATTATTTTTTTCTGTCTTTTTATAGAAAACAAAATAGCAGAAGAAATCAATGAGTTGGAGAAAGAATTACTCGCAGTAAGTATACATAAAGTATAAGCATAGCGACCAGCTCTCTTACATGTATATAGTCTAAATATATAAATAAGTATATGTTTAAAAATAATTTGAGATAATTTATATCAGTGTCTCTCATAAGACATCAATAAATACAATTTTATTCCATTATTTCTCGATAAGTTTTAATACGCTCTCTTTTAGGACACAAAAAGCAGGCAGATACTGGATGAAGATGAACAAGACATCAATTTATTGAATCATGCTTCAAGAGAGAACAACAAGTTTAGAGAAAGCGGCTATAGACGTTACTATGGTCGTCAAACAATAGGGGAAAGAAACGAAAAGAATCATGAGCAAACACATCGAATTTTACAGGCAATTGGAAGAGGGAAGGACAGTCGCTTATCTCAACTTCTACTTACAAACAAGAAAGATACGAATAGAATTGAACAGAAAGCACTAACAAAGAAAGGACGAAAACCGAAAAACAAAAAGAATACAGGTCGTAAAATGGGGTACATATTTGATAAACCAGAGGTATTTTTCATTTATATCTTTTTATTGATATGGCAAACCGTATTTAAATTTTGTAAGATATTCTTACCATAAAATGTATAATAAGGATTAAATAGGTGTAATTAAAGTTTGTTCATAATTTGACAAAGAACGTTAAATCTAACATATGGGTTTTATGAATAATATGACACAAATAAATTATGTGATACGCGTGCATATTTTGATATGCTTGTCAAATACGTATCGAATCAGATCTTAAAAAGCACAACCATAACAATAGGTGGTGTTTTCCAAAGCAAACTTTGTTAATCTTACCACCACATTCATTTTTCAGTACCAGTCAAATTATCTCGTCACACCCATTTCGATATACCTATTAGAGCATAGATTATATATTTTGTTCTACACCAGAATATGCATGAAATATTTCCACAAACAACGTTTGTATTACTTGAAAGGGATGCTTGTACTAAAAGAATAAAGACCACTTTTGAGATATTTTTTATGAACGAATAATGCCTGCTGACCCGAGGCGAATCAGCATAAATATCGGACTCTTACTGTGGCGTTATAACATAAATATTGTGACCTCGGAAATTTACGGGAAAATGCACGAATTTGAAAGTCGTCTATAATCTGCAAACACTTTATTTTTCTTTCTTTTTGCCAGGATCTTGACGCTGATTCTGAGTTTTCTCATTTGTTGGATGCGATGAGTTTGGATTCGCACGGACATATTCGTCAGGTATATTATAATGCGTATACAGTTTTAAATATATTTGATTAGGTTAATTCAAATCTATAATTAATTTGTAAAAGATAAGACAAACATGAAGAGATTAGTTCAGTGTTTTTTTAAGAATTTTTCTATATATATATATATATATATATATATAAAATCTAATTCTTCAAATACTTTTGATGTAAATATGAAAGACGTCTTTATATAAATGCTCATTTGTAAATTTTGAAACTACATGCAGGACACGTCATCCATACACACGGAATTTTTAACTATCAGTTACTGTATACAAAACGCATATCTAAACACCGAACTCGGTGCAACGAACATTGTAAAATATTAAAAAAAGAAAAGATAATTCAATATAGACAACTTAAAGTAGTAATATTCAATTTACAAACTGTATTATAGTATCTACAGTCCGTTGTTCTCTCTGTGATTTTTTAATACTTTGAAATGCTTTTAGCCCAAAGGACGACATTCAGAAAAGCAAAAGACAAAAGGGGAAAATTTGGAAAGAGATCCTCCTGTGAGTAATTATATGACATATTTGAGTTTCCTAATATCTTATTTATAATCATAGTTCAAAGAAAATTGAAACGATTTTATCATAGATGAAACGACAGCATTAAACATTTGAGTAAAGAAGAAATTTAAAACACTTAAAGACACTATTTGAATGTTCAAATTGTACTGCTATACTTGACATAAATCAGGCCGTTGTTTTTTCTTTTGAATTGTTTCACATTTTGTCAAGTCGGTTCCTTTGATAGCTGACTTTTGCTCATTGTTGAAGGTCGTATAGACATAATATGTGATATATAATGAATTTTAAATGGAATGAAAATTGTCAAAATTTTACAGGAAAGAGATAGACAATAAATATGAGGATATGTGTCAATGGGACAGCAACCCAACAACATACAAATATACTCAAAAAAAAAAAAAGACAAAATGTTTGGACAAATATAGGCAGGTGTCTATACGTCATCTTAATAAAGTCTAGAACTTACCCATCATGTCTAGAAAAATAGTTAATAGATTTAACAGAGACGATCAAAGATTTGCCATTTACATCAAATAAATAAATAGAACAGAAATAGAAAAAATAGAAAGCAAAAAAAAAAAAACGCACACATTAAGATATCACAGAAAACAACAATTACAGAAGTTCTAGACTTGATACAGGCGCAATAACACGTGACAGGTTTACTAGTTTTTTATATGAGTTCTTCTCATTATAGATACATCTATGGTTTTTCTTACCTCTATGACCAGTTCCTGATCATCTTGTATCAAAATCTTTAATTGTTTTTTTTATATTGAGGTTAACATTAACAATTCACGTAGATATTCTATGTCACTAAATTATGTAATTTGCTGAGGATGTGATAAAACATTTAAATGCTCATTGTATTACAAGTGTCTTTCTTCATTTGGGTAACATCAAATTGGATTTAGACACTGTATGTTTATTCAAGTATAAGTTGTCCATTTTTGTTTTTTCATTATTTCCGAATGAAAGCAAAATGTTTCGTATCAATGCTATACCAAATTTAACATTCAATAAAAAAAAATACCCGATTTAAAATTAAAGTGTCGAAAATTCCTTGGATAATAACTGAATGAACATAAAGTGCATAGTTCCATTGGATAATATCAAAATGTAAAACATCTAAATTCAATTGTTTAATTTTCATTTGGGTAGGATTTAAAAACAAATGTAAACTTTGTAATTTGATGTTTCACCGTAAATTAATTTTTTTCGGTATTCCTTCTGTTTTTTATATGTATACATGAAGCTAATTTATAATAAAAATAACCATTCTCTACTTCTTATTTTCCATCGAATTATGTGTTACTGAGCCTCTCTTTCAGTTTGAATGTTAAAAGTAAAGTCGATTCACCAAAGGATAATGAAATAATTAGTTATTCGCAAGTGTTTGAATAATATTCATTAATCCTATTTACAGTTTAAATAAAACCGCTGACCATTTTCGTTACTCTTTAGTTCATATATAACTTTTGAATAACAAATGATATTATAGGTGTATTTTAGCACGGTATACATTAGTTGTTTCGGTTCTTTTTTGCAGGGTCAACTCAAAAGAAATTTCCATAGTGCTAACTCTTATTGGCCGGATGGAAAGGTGCCCTATGAAATTGATTCCGTATTTTGTATGTTTTAAATTAGTTTAATGCAATCTAATTAGAATTAGTTTTCAGCAGTTGTTGAGATTTATATTAAAGTCTATTCTATGATGTCTTAGCAAGTTCACTTAATACGAGTCTTAAAGTAACTTACAAAATACATTAACGATTAATGTTCTAACCCAAGATTTATACTGTGACATTGCAGATTACATTTATCAATTATGGACTTATGTCAATACGTTATATATGGACCGAGGAAGAAGGTCGAGTGTCAATATAATCTAACAGGTCCTTCTATTACGTATTGAATGAGTGAAAGTCTTTAATTTATTATGTATTACATATGTAACTGGTGTATTATGAAAATGGACTTTATATGATGTTATCTCTGTGTATTTTACATTGTATTTTGTAAATATTTTATTTGACCGTCAATATTATTAGTTACATAGTGTGCTAGTGACCTAATACGATATATATGGGGTGAGTAAATTTCATATTGGGTAAAAGCGAAGCTCGAATCCCCATATGGATTTTACTGACCCCATATATATCGTATTAGGTCATTAGCACACTATCTAACGAATTTATCTTACCGACTATCTTTACATGTGGTATTTAGATTAGTGGCCTATCAATTAAGAACCTATACTTCCATTGGTCTATACAAAAACAAATGCCAACAATAACAACTTGTTAGCTTGTTAGCTTGAAATGTGTTTTGTGAATTTATTTCAATAGTTCATCATCAATTTCTTCGTCTGTTGAAACCTTTGAGATTTTTCCTCAACACCGTGTTGTTTTTATAAAGGGACGTAACACCACTACTTACCGTGTATTGAAATAAGCCCCGCCTACTAACCCAATATGGAATATACACGGTCTCCACGCGGTTGCTTTTAACCAATCATATTCCTAGAAATGTATAGGCAGTAAGATAAATATATATATTACATTAGGTGTAACATTCTACTCTTTTCATTGGTTATTAAGATCACGTGATGCATAGGATATAAATAAATGGACGCAATGTTTCTATTTATATATATATTGACGGTCAATATTAAAAAATCTTGCAAAACGCGATGTTTCTATTTATAAATATATATTGAACGTCAATATAAAAAATCTTGAAAAATGCCATGTTTCTATTTATATATATATATATATATATATATTTACAAGTCTAAATTGAAAACAACGTTCAAACCTATGATTGCGTTGGATAAAAACCGCAATTTTCATACGTGTGCATGCAAAACAAATTTCTTGTTAGAGGGGTCTAAATACAGCACAAACAACATTTTCCAAAAGACCAAAACAGAGAAAAAGTATATTTTAACAAAACGCATTTGACTAACAGGTCGAACAACAAATGTTCTTAAACCCTGCTGACTGCCATAGGCGATTGCCAAATAACGGATCACCAATGTAATAAAAGGACCTTAATTATAAATTTAATACTAAACAGAAAACAATAAACTTGCGGAAAAGATGGTATACCGCAAACAAAAGGTGCAAAGGTTTTTTTACAACATATCCGGATTTCGACAATTAATGTCTCTTCAGTGATGTTAGGAATCGAAACGGTATTTGGAAAGCCATACAATTTACCTCAATTTAGGATAGACTCTTGAATTTTGAGGAGTCAAAATAGGATATATATATATATATATATATTATACAATTATAGCCTTTGTAGGAGGTCGATACAAGGATATATTGACCTGAAAGAAGTTTATTGACTGAGGACGAAGTATTGTATTGACTTCATAAATAGGCTATAATTGTTATATTATTAATTTCCGACCATACTTGTATCAAAATCGTCATTTGATTTTGTTGTAATTTTATAGATATCATATTGTCTCCTAAGACAATAACAACAGATTAGTTGTTATTTCATTTACTTTTTTGATGTTTTTTCTTTACATGTTGTGTATTTGAAGATTTTTTTTCTTCAAATAATCGATCATAGATATTTTTTTATAAAACTTTTAACAATATAATGAAATTCATTACATGACGTCACAAAGAATATCGATTTTTAGATATTCTAAAAATAACCGTGCAATATGCTTTTTGCTGTGCAATATGCTTTTTGATATCCGCCGTTTTCTCTCTACCTTTGAAAATATAGTTTAACATGTGACTATCCCTGAACGAATCAAATTAGTTAAAATGTACGAATTAATAATATATATATATATATTGACCGTCAATATTAAAAATTTTACAAAATACAATGTAAAATATACAGAAAGAATATCGAGGTCCATTTCCATAATACACTATTTACTGGACATAATTTATGTAATATATAAATTAAGGACTTTCACTCACTCAATACGTTATATATGGACCTGTTAGATTATATTGAACCTAGGATTTCGTCCCCGGTCAATATAATCTGAACAGGTCCATATATAACGTATTGACCTCGTCAAAATGCCAAAATTGATAATTAGAAACATAGCGTCCATATACTTAAACATAGAAACAAGGCTTCAGGTACATGGAGCACACTTTGAATCACATGATCGCAATAACCAATAAAAAAGAAGAATGCTACACCATATGTAATATTATACAACTACTGACTTTTGATGAGGTAAATATGTTAATTTGTTGACTTTTGAAAAACTGATATTCACTAAGACCGACAATACTTCAAACAATTACATTATGGAACAACAATTATTATTCCATATTAATATTATTTTAGTAGGTTTATCTATATGAATTGGATTTCGAATAAAACAGTAATTCACCTGGAGAAAAGTGATATTCACCGCGCTAAACGTCACGCGCTTTTACATGTAACGTTATGGTAAAATGTTTGATGTACAATTGGTTTTGGTAAATATTTGTCATTTAGTACATTGTTTTCTCTCGGAATAGGGAATAAAACAATTACTGTCTTTTGTTTCTGTAAATATGTGGTTTAATTGACTTTTGAAAAACTGATATTCACTTCGGCCGTCGGCCTCAGTGAATATCAGTTTTTCAAAAGTCAATAAAACCACATATTTACCTCATCAAAAGTCAGTAATTGTGTATTGTTCCATATTGGTATTGTTTTAGTAAGTTTTTCCATATGATTTAGATTTTGAATAAATCAGCATATTCACATGAACGAAATTGCTATTCACCGCGCTTGACATCATGTGCTTTTACGTGTATTATTATGGTAAAATGTCTGATATATATTTGGCTTTGGCAAACAAATATCGTTAAATACGTTTTTTTTCTCCCTAGACTTATATTATATTCACCGCGCTAAACGTCACGCGCTTTTACATGTAACGTTATGGTAAAATGTTTGATGTACAATTGGTTTTGGTAAATATTTGTCATTTAATACATTGTTTTCTCTCGGAATAGGGAATACAACAATTACTGTCTTTTGTTTCTGTAAATATGTGGTTTAATTGACTTTTGAAAAACTGATATTCATTGGCACTCATACCATATCTTCTTATATCTATTATAGAATGAAACAATCAATATCTTTTGTATCGGTAAATATGTTGTTTGTTTGACTTTAGAAAAACTGATATTTATTTCGGCCGTTTGCTTCAGTGGACATCAGTTTATTTCAAAACTCTGTAAGACCACACCAAGAGACAGCAATTGTATAACAATGTAAAATGTACACTCGATTTCTATGGGGATTGTGCTGCTTAATATTCATGTTTCTCTGTTTTGTGGACTGTTTTGTCTTTTCGTCGTTTTTCCTTTTGCGACCAACGGCGTTTTATATTTTTCTTCTACTATTGGTATTTTCTTCTTCACCTTCATTCTTCTATAATGATCCTACTTTCCTTGGTCGATAATAGTCATGTGTCGGGGAAAAAAACCAAATTGTCAAAATTTATGAATTATTCAAATAACTCCGATCACATTTTTAGAAGACCACAAGTCAGCAGTAAAATTATACTTGAAATTTGTCTTTTAGTTGAAAAAAAACACTTTAAAAAATGCAAAAAAACAATGCCTTATTTGGAGAACTTGCCATTGATATTTCAACTGAAAAACAGTATTACTAATAATTCGTATACAAGATGTTTATATTATTGATATTTATTTTTGCCATAAAAGTATATCAAAACTTTTTTTTATTGAAATATTTTTATGACATTACAGTAACATTAAAAAGACGCTTTTTTATTGAAGTGACTATACCTTATATACATGTACATGTACCTCCTCCTTCAGGGTGTGAAAGAAACTCAAAGTTCAAAATCTTGTTCTGTTATCTTCGCATGTCTATATACTCGTACAAATTAAAGACCCTCGTCTATAGTTATGTTTCGTTATATCTTTGGATATGTTGTCTGTGGTTATGTTTAGTTATATCTTGGCATGTGTTGTCTGTGGTTATGTTAAGTTATATCTTTGGATATGTTGTCCATGGTTTTGTTTAGTTATATCTTGGCATGTGTTGTCTGTGGTTATGTTAAGTTATATCTTTGGATATGTTGTCCATGGTTTTGTTTAGTTATATCTTGGCATGTGTTCTCTGTGGTTATGTTAAGTTCTATTTTGGCATGTGTTGTCTATGGTTATGTTTAGTTATATATTGGAATGTGTTGTCCATTGATGTGTTAAGTTATATCTTGGCATGTGTTGTCTATGTTTATGTTAAGTTATATCTTGGCATGTGTTGTCTGTGGTTATGTTAAGTTATATTTTGGCATGTGTTGTCTATGGTTATGGTTAAGTTATATATTTGAATGTTTTGTCCATGGTTATGTTAAGTTATATCTTGGCGTGTTTGGTCCATGGTTATGTTACGTTATATCTTGGCATGTGTTGTCTATGGATATCTTAAGTTATATCTTAGCATGTGTTGTCTATGGTTATGTTTAGTTATATCTTGTCATGTTTTGTCCATGGTTATGTTACGGTATATCTAGGCATGCTTTGTCTATGGTTATGTTTATTTATATGTAAGCATATTTTGTACATGGTTATGTTAAGTTATATCTTGGCATGTGTTGTCAATTTTTATGTTTAGTGATATCTTGACATATTTTGACTATGGTTATGTTTAGTTATATCTTTTCATGTATTGTCCATTGTTGTGTTTAGTTATGTCTTGGAATGTTTTGTCTATGGTTATGTTTAGTTTTATCTTGGCATGTTTTGACTATGTTTATGTTAAGTTATATCTTTGCATATGTTGTCCATTGTTGTGTTTAGTTATATCTTGGCATGTTTTGTCCATTAATGTATTTGTTGTCAATGGCATCTCTTTGTTACTATCATTTTGTTCCATTCATTCACAATTTGAAAAATATATAGAGTTAACCTGTAGATGGTTTTTTTTTAAAGATTTTAAGAAAGTAGTAAAATAACACTTGAAGAAATATTTCTTTGCAAAATGTGTTCATTCAGAATGTAATTCATTTGGGTTTTATGTTCTAAAGTGTACGCCAAAATGTTTTAAATAGCGTACATCGTTCCAAACTAATGACTCATTTGTTACAAACAATGAAAATACCCATTATGTAAAAGATTCTGAAACGGCGAATTGAAAGCTTCATTAATGAATTCTTAATCCTTTTTTACTCAGCTGCAGCAGACATAGATGTTATTGAGAGTGCCGTACAAGAAATTAACGAACAAACTTGTTTAAATTGGGTACCTCATGATAGTACGCCTGGTGTACCATACATTAAGATTATATCTGATACGTGAGTTAATATAGTACTAAATGCATATAAAGCATGATTACCAATAAATCATTTAGGAGCACAGATAACGTGCTAGTCTGAATAACGAGAATAACTTATCCTTATTGGTCGGTGTGTGTTTCTGATATTTATTTAGTACAAGACACTTCGTAGTCCATTCATATACCAAAGGCAAAACAATATTTGTTTCTTTATCTTAAAGGAAGTAAAAAGTCTTGCCTAATCAGGGACTAGATATGTATTTTTAGTATTTTTAGCTGACCGGGTTTTCTAATCACTTGGCGTCCGTCGTCGCTGTTAAATAACATGACTGACATGGCTAAAATAGAACATAGGGGTAAAATGGAAGTTTTGTCTATTATTTTGAAAACCGCTATGAATAGAGAAAATCTGACAGTGGCAGAAATGTTCAAAATGTTGAGAACTATCTGCTGTTTTTTTACATGAACATTGTAAATTTACTGAAAATTGTCAGACTACTTTTTATTGGAGTAATTGCCCTTATTTTGTTATTAATATTTGCCTATTTTTTTCAAAACTATAATAAATTATAGACAAACTTTAATGAGGAAAATTGATCTGAAAAACAAAATCTACAAATAAGTCAAATGGTTGAAATCGTCGGACGGCTCCTCTTTAGAGTTATTGCCCTTTAATGACGATTTTCCCATTTTTCTGGTGTTTTTGATTGTTATCTTGCAAAAATATTTCGTCTGAAACTAATGGGTCAAATTTGACCACACTTGGCCACAATCATTATTAGGGTATATAGTTAAAATGAGTACGAGGGCCCTGTCTGCCGACAAACATGGCCGACATGGCTGAAAATAGAACATAGGGAGTAAAATTCAATATTTGTCTTTTATCTTGAAAACTGCTATAATACATAGAGCAAATATGACAGGTACAAAAATTTTCAAAATGATGACATCAAAATTGTCAGACGACTTCTTATAGGAGTAATTGCCCTAAATGCATTTAACCAAGTTTTTGCATTTTTGCATATTACATTTATCTCAATAACTATATTAAATAGAGAGAAACTTTAAATATAAAAAATAATCAGCAAGAAAAGATTTACGAATAAGTCAGCATGAACGAAATCGTTAGTCGGATCCTTATTGAAGTTATTGCCCTTTAATGACGATTTTTCACAGTTTTTGCATTTTTGCCTATCATCTTCAAAACTATAATAATAAATTGAAACTTTGAAAAGGAAAAATGATCAGCAGGATAAGATCGTCAATTACGCCAACATAACTGAAATTGTTAGTTAACTCTTAATAGAGTTATTACCCTTTAATTATGTTTTTTTACTAAAAAGGTGGCCATTGTTGAAGATGCAGGTGAGCGACACATGCTCTTTAGAGCCTTTTGTTATAAACAGAATTGCTTTACAAGAGATTATCTAATAAATGTATAAAGAAAATCAAAAGGACCCTATATATTTGAACTGAACAAATGTGCTAAATTTTATATTGCTGTTACGGTATAAATAAGAAGATGTGATATGAGTGCCAGTGAGACAACTCTTCATCCAAGTAACAATGTATAAAAAATTAACAATTATAGGTCAAAGTACGGCCTTCAACACAGATATTCTTTGTCATTTATACAAAAAATTATTACTTTGGTTTCAAAACCACTCATTCGCAAACAATACGCAATTTTCAGTATCCAGCAGTTTAGTTGGACCAATGGAGAAGAATAAGCAGAAGAAGATAAATTGAGTTGACTTCCTGTCCGAAACTATGTAAAACTCTAAAGGTTTAAGTTTTCAGTTATTAAGATGGTTGACTTTGGTCATAGACTGATAAATTTGGATTACGTATATTTAAGAAAACAGCAGAATTGTATTTCCCTTATACAGTAAATTTTATTATCAACCATTTAAAAAACATACTTATTTGCTACAAAGAGATTTACTTGTAGCCATAATTCATATTTTTTTCTTTTACAGTGGATGTTGGTCGTACATTGGATATCTCAGCCGTACTCCACAAGATCTAAGTTTGGGAAATGGCTGTGTAAATGTAAGTTTTTTTTAATTTTTATTTAACAAAGATAGATTTATTTTGGTTCAACGTTATATAGATGATGTTCTCTCACTAAATAATTCAAAATTTGGTGACTATGTTGAACGCATCTATCCCATCGAACTTGAGATAAAGGATACAACAGATACAGATAAGTTTGCCTCATATCTTGACTTACATCTAGAAATTGACAATGATGGTTGGTTGAAAACAAAACTTTACGACAAAAGAGATGATTTCAGCTTCCCAATTGTGAACTTTCCATTTCCGCGTAGCAACATTCCAACAGCGCCTGCATACGGAGTATACATCTCCCAGTTGATACGTTATTCTAGGGCTTGCATTTCCTATCCTGATTTCCTTGATAGAGGGGTTGCTGCTCACAAGGAGGCTATCAAACCAAGATTTCCAAGTGGTGAAGTTGAAATCGTCCTTTCGTAAATTTTACGGACGCCATTACGAGTTGGTTGACCGTTATGAAATATCCGTTTCACAAATGACAACGGAAATGTTCCAATTGTCGTTACTAAAATCCCGTCCCCTTTTCCACGAATGTGACCTACCGAATTAGACTATACATTTTTTTTCGCTATGGATATTCCGTATATCGTCAAGTTATCGGAATTCCAAATAGGGACTAACTGTGCACCACTTATTGCGGACCCGTTTCTGTATTGTTATGAGTTACAATTTATGACTAAAATCAGCGAAGACCCATCGGAACAACATCTGATACAAACATTTAATAACACTTTGAGATATTCGGATGATATATTGGCTCTCAATAATGACGACTTCAGTATGTAACTAAAAAGATTTATCCTGCTTAAATAAAGCTAATACTAACAATGAACACTGCTCTTTCCTGGATCTTGATATCTATATCTTTAACGGGAAGTTTAATACCAAAATTTATGATAAAAGAGATGATTTTTCATTTCCTATTGTTAATTATCCATTTTTAGATGGTGACGTTACCTTGTCACCATTTTATGGTGTTTATATATCTCAACTTGTTCGATTCGCTCGTGTATGAAACAACGTATTTGATTTTAACGAAAGAAATCTCTGTATTACTGAAACATTATTACATCAGGGTTTTCGATATCACAAACTATTCAAATCATTTACTAAATTTTATCGTCGGTAAAAGGACACTATTCGTAAATATAAATCAACATGCAAACATCTTATACGTTCAGGTATTTCACATCCAATCTTTTATGGTAATATTCTTTACAAAGCACAAAAATTTCGGCATTCACCTCAAAAGCTAACCAAACCTTTAAACATGCTTATTCAGAAGGGATATAGTTACGATACTGTTGTCAGGTCATTGAAGATGGCATATTTTGGTATTAATATTGATTCACTCATAGGGTCTTTGCATCGGACATAAACACGTTTGTTCCAAAACCAGTTGTTGGCATGATACGGGTTATGTTCTTCTCATATATTTTATGATGGTATGATACTTAACCCCTAACGGGAGGGGTTGTGCTTGATTTTCATATGATGAAGACATAATCATTCAATCAGTTTAATTGAAGTATGGAGCTGGCATGTCAGTAACTGCTAGTAGTCCTTTGTTAATTTATGTATCATTGTCATTTTGCTCAGTTTCTTTTGTTACCTATTCTGACATCGGACTCGGACTTCTTTTAAACTGAGTTTTACTGTGCGTATTGCTGTGTGTTTGTTTATTCCACATTGGCTACAGGTATAGGGGGAGGGTTGAGATCTCACAAAACATGTTAAACCCCGCCGCATGTTTGCGCCTGTCCCAGGTCTGGAGCCACTGGCCTTTGTTAGTCTTGTATGTTTTTTAATTTTAGTTCATTTGTATGTTTTGGAGTTTAGTATGACGTCCATTTTCACTGAACTAGTACACATTTTTATTTAGGGGCCAGCTGAAGCCCGCCTCCGGGTGCAGGATTTTCTCGCTGTGTTGAAAACCCATTGGAGGCCTTCGGCTGTTTTCTGCTCTTTGGTCAGGTTGTTGTCTCTTTGACATATTCCCCATTTCCATTCTTAATTTTATTATCACTGGGTTTGTACTAATATGAGCAATACGTCGGGTGCCAGAAGTGGAGCAGGATCTGCTTACCCTTCCAGAGCACCTGAGGTCACCCCCAGTTTTTGGTGGGGTTCGTGTTGTTCAGTGTTTAGTTTTCTATGTTATGTTTTGTGTACTATTGTTTGTCTGTAGTCTTTTCTTTTTTAGCCATGACATTTTCCTTTAATTTTCGACTAATGAGTTTGAATGTCCCTTTAGTATCCTTCGCCCCTCTTTTATCAGTTTAGTCGATATGTAAAACTTGGCAGATTTATATAGATAGTGGTATAATTGTCATAACCTCATTCAGAAGATACAAATCAAGGTAATAAACAACAACTGAGTTATTCGCATGAAATACAAAATAAACGAGAACCGATACGTCGACAGGGTAAGCGTCTCCAGCTATGTATGCATCACCTGCAATACGAATCCACACTCAGTCATAATTTCACGATCGAGAACATGACACAATAGGTAAATATGCAGATCAGATGACTTTTCTGGTATTGAAAATCTAAGACCATGAAAACATTCCGCTAGTGAGTAAGGACTAAGACACATCGTAGCGCACAACCAACTTGAAATTATTACCGTAAAATTTGTGTAGTGTCGACTGCAGTCTGTCTTTATCATAACTCTGTAAGAGCAGGTTTTGTATAAGGAGCACATAATGCCAGATCAATTATGTTCTCTGTATGCCTTATACCTCTGTTTAAAGGTGTATTACTAAATAGACATACATTTGTATTGTCTTTCTAACACGTATTTCTTACAATAGACCTGTAGACCTTACCTTGAACTAAGAATTGCTCTCACACACAACAAAATAAACAAGATACTTTGCGCTGTCTTCATTGTTTGTTCTTGTAAATGATTATATGCGAATTGAATTTGCCTTAGTTATGTAATTTAAAATTGTTAATCAGTCGATTTTAATTGTAATTATTTGCCGCAACCTTCTGTTATCTAGTATGTAAGCCTTGTATATTTACGGAATATTCATGTTTCTTGTATATATATATTTGTTTATTCTCACAAACCAAATTACAAAGGTATAGAGGTAGTGACATGTACACCCTTTAGATCTTTTATAGTATCAACATTATAAGCTTATTTTTCACAAAACTTCTATTACCCGCTATTTTCAGATTTTTTTAAAATCTAAATAAATATTGACAGTATTTTTTAATACCGCTGGTTTCATGTTTACATATATATTTTTTGCCATTCATTTTCACTATTTACCATCGTTTTCTCATTAACTTATATGTCATTACGATCCAACAGACATTTTTTGAAACGAGTCCATTGTAGGGGAAATATAATGTTTGTGTCTCTAGAACTCCTTCTGTAAAGAATTTAAATAAATGGAAATGTACTGTTACATGTACGCATAAACTCTCTCGCATTAAAGAGTTCTTAACCATTCGACATCACGTCTTGTACATTTTGTCCCATCTCACACAAATTGATTTGTCAAAAACTAAAATTAAATTTTAACATCCCTTAAAGCAAAAGTACTGCCCGTTGAACCATTGATGCATATATATGTTATCGATTTACCGAACTCAAAGAAGATGGTACGATAGGAGCCATTATTTGGCCAAAGAAATTGCAAAAATAGTATATTATTGCAATGATTGTTTACCGATGTCGTCTGATAAATCGATTAGGAAGACAAAACAAGGTAACACACAAACATTGAACTCCATAAGGAGCGAGACTGGATTCATCGTCAGGGTAAGCATCTCCTACTGTGAATGCATCAACCGCCATGCGAATCAACACTTAGTCAAAATGTCACAATCAGGAATATAAGACATAACGTATCGATCAACCAAGTCATGATGGTGACCGTGAAACTTATGTTGTATCGATTCTAGTCATTCTTACCTACATCTCCTTTGGAGCAGTCCGTATATTATGAACATACACGAGCGTAACGTATCACTTGAGATAAGTAAACCCAATACGATAGAACAGAGGGTAAGTTACTGCCGGGAAATGGGAAGTTGACAATTGGAATTGAAAGTTGAAATCATCACGCTTGTCATAGAAGTCGTCCATTGGTATCAATATCGAAGAAAAGATTAATATATGAAGCAGATCATTTTGTTTTGATAGTATCTTTAATCTAAAGTTCACTAGGATAAATGAGATGCAAGCACTCACTGAAATTTAGGTTAAAGGATGACAGGACTTCAATCATATAATTATCTGAAAGTGAAAGAAACAACTTTGCATGATGTTTTTTTTTTTCTATTTGTCTATGAGAAGGTTTTGTATTCATTCTGATTCATTTGATTACAGAAACAAATCGGCTAGGATGGAAGCACAACAGGTGCCAATCGAAATATCGACTGAGTGTTGAAAGATCAATTTACACTACTCAACAAATAAAAAAAAGTTTATGCATTTTGGACAAATAAGAATAAAATCGACATTTTACAAATAGTTTTTGAATAAGTAAGCATTGATCGAAGGTCTTATACAAAACGATATTTACACATTTTTACATCTTTGCATAAGAAATCTAAAACATCTTGTTTCAAAATATAGTTCTGGGAAAGTCTGAGGGTCATATCGAAATACAAAAGACAAGTTCTCAAAGTGAGGCTGTTTGTCAGTTTTTGAAGATTTGCATGAAACACAGGAATTTCGATAATCTAAGGCTGCCTTAGACTATCAAATATTTCTGACACACAGTAATGTATTTTGAACATCTAACGGATGCTATTTGATAGATTTATATTACTTTTTCATTCAAGGACAATGCGATGCTGTATAACCGGTATATCTTTCATAATACTTTTTGGTTTACTTGTTTTCTTTAACTTCAAGTAAATGTTGTGACCTAAACATTTATTTAATAAAACTAATTATCACGGTAGTGTCAACGCAACATAAGATTATTTTACGTTGTTCAACCTCGTACTTTATTCGGCCGTTTTAACTTTTTTGATTAGAGCGTCACTGATGAGTCTTTAGTTACATAGACGAACCGCGCATCTGGCGTACAAAATTTAAACCCTGGTATATATAATGAGTGTATTCAAGGGAATTCACAGTTATACTTATTTTTTTTAAATGTATGATATATTTGCATGTACCATATTATTTCTTAAACTGAGTTGGGAAACGATTTACCTACCATTCTTATACTTTTATTTTTAGAAAGCAACAGCCGTTCACGAAATGATGCATGCCATTGGCTCTCAGCATGAGCAGGCGCGATCAGACCGTGATAATTACATGACTATTATAGAAAAGAATATACAGAGTGGTCGCGAAAGTAACTTCCAAACAAAACAAACGATGAACAATCATCCATTAGATGCAGCATCTGATATGATGTACGGGTTATATGTAAGTTTAATTAACCAGCAATATCACACACAGACAGAGCACTGCTTATCCTATAAATTTAGAAATAGATGTATCTGCTTAATTTGTAACTGATTAATTTTTATATTAAATATAAATATCTGTCATTCATATGATATTTGTTTGGGAAGTGTAACGAAAGTTTAATAAACTTGAGTATGGTCCCCGCTAAAACATTCGGGGGCATGTAGTAATCGCTTTGTCCGTTCATCTGTCCGTTCGTCCCTCCGTACATTCATATGTCCGAAACAAATGGTTTGCGGATAAAGATTTGAGTACCCTTTGCTTGATTGGAAAGACACTTTTACAGATGGGCGATATAATGATTGATTGATTGTTGGTGTTTTAACGCCACTTTCAGCACTATTACCATTTTTTGGCTGCCATTTTAATTGGCGAAGGAATACGGAGTGTCCAAAGAGACCCACTGACCTTCATTAAAAAAATGACAATCCTAGTAAGTTAGATTGAAGTCGAATTCACCTCTAACGTACGGGGTTCGGACTCACAACCCCAGTGTTAACAGGCTAGTTTTACAGTAGTTGATGAACTGCTTGGGACACTCGGCCACCGATTCCCCTGGAAAAAATATAGGAAAGGGAAAGAAGCCTCTTATTTTCAAGTTCATAGGTTAAAGTTACTGATACAAAAAGGAAATATGTAAAATCGTTTCCGTGTGGTAACTTGAGTATTCGAATCGAATAAAGGGTTTCCAGATGGTAACTAGGGCTCCCTTGTATGATTGAAATGGAACTTACACAGATGGCAGACATAGAGAAGGGGGAAAGGCCTATGAATTTGGGCGACAATAGGTCAATAGAGTTTTCCTTGCTTGATAGGAATGAAACTTATACGGATGAAAGATATAGGGATTTATATACTAAAATTGATTTTGGGGTCAACAGGTGAAAGGTCAAGATCACTGTTACTAAAATATATTCTATTAAAAAGTTGGTCTCGGTATGCTTTCTCACTATGAATAATAACCAATTTATACATGCAACAAAATAGCAACTAAAGTACATGTTCATTTGTCCCACCATGCATACATATTAATTTGAACCTTTGAAATAAATGTTCAGTTCAAGGAGTATCAGTTAGCAGTTGGGGCTTTTTACTTGTTGTTTCTAATAGGAAGAAATAATGTAATTAAAAAAAAAAAACCAACCCACTGGTATATATTACTTTATAAATGTGGTAAAAGAAACCATAACCTATCATACGATAATACCTGATTAGATATATAAATATGAAAACAGATCCAGACAAATATACAGACAGACAACATACCGAGTTAGAGGTCAAAAACCAGATGGACAAATATACAGACAGACAAACAGACAGCTCACATGTCAACAACCAGACAGACATATATACAGACAGACAAACATACAGATCACAGGTCAAAAACCAGATGGACAAATATACAGACAGACAAACAGACAGCTCACAGATCAACAACCAGACAGACATATATACAGACAGACAAACATACAGATCACAGGTCAAAAACCAGATGGACAAATATACAGACAGACAAACAGACAACTTACAGGTCAACAACCAGACAGACATATATAGAGACAGACAAACATACAGATCACAGGTCAAAAACCAGATGGACAAATATACAGACAGACAAACAGACAGCTCACAGATCAACAATCAGACAGACATATATACAGACAGACAAACATACAGATCACAGGTCAAAAACCACACGAACATATATACAAACAGACAAACAGAAAACTCACAGGTCAACAACCACACGGACATATATACAGACAGACAGATCGATCAATCGATTGATAGATAGATAGAAAAACAACTTACAAAAGATTCCACGGTTAAGATTTAGTACACCATACGTGCATTTCGTCTACATAAGGCTTAAAATTGGCAGTCGTATAAAAACAGTAGATAGCCACATTAGATAGTGTTGTATCAAATACATCATTGAAGGCGTTAGCCCGATAAGGTGCATTTGATTTACACCAAGATAGTACGGTTAATGGAAAAGCTAGTACCTTTTAGCAGTTTGATCTTATTTTACGGTAAAACATGATAAATGCATGTGTGTGTTTGAAAGATATAAGACAAAAAGCAACTCAAAAACAAAGGTAAACCAAAGTCAGTAGTCTGTCTGCATATAACATTTTGCACTAGTATTTTATTTTAGTTTTTGCACTGTAAAATGTAATTATTTGAATTCAAGACTTGAACTCTACTTTTCTAATCTATATATTAAATTTATAAATGAAAACACTCATTTGTGTTTACGAAACGTTAATAGCAAAGTGTGGTGTAGATGTGCGATGGAAAGCTCTTTGCAAATGTCAAATGGTTAAAAAGAACCCAATGTATTTTGATTTACATCTCTTCTACGTAAAGTAACGAAGAAATCAGATAACAGGTCATAAAATTATAATAAAATTGTTACTTTAAGATATGAATCAGGACAATACCTCGCGAACAACCTTTATTTATTTCCTTTTCAAAGTGTCATTATTATCATGGGAACTCTAAACAATTGGTTTTTTTACAGGATTTCTCTAATAATGGAGGCAAAACAATAAAGTTTAAAGACTGGCGTCTAGAGTTCCAGGCAGACAGTGCTACAGGCTTAATGTTCTATGATGTGGCCGATATTACTACAGCTTATACATGTACAGGTAAACTATTAAATCAGGAATGCACATGAGTTAATTATCAGTGTTGTTCGGTCACGAGTTGAACATTTTTCGATATTTTAATTCTTGGATTATTTTTTTTTTTTATTTTTTTATTTGTCAGGATGAAACATGTGAAATTACATTCTACAGTATTAGCATTCTACAGTATTATACACAAATTATAAAAATTAGGTAACACGTGTAAGATCGATCACGTCATAATGATATAATAAGATATATATATATATTACAATTGATTTTGTTAATTAAAAGCTGCTTCTAACAATTGCCACTTCTGACCCATATTTACATTTTGTGCAGGGGTTAAGAAACATACAGAGTATTTTTCTTTATATTAATCCAATATTTTAAATATTCTATCCCACCCAATTTTGTGGGCAATATATTCTTACATCTACATTTGTATATATAGTATTTAAATAGCAACACAATATTATTTACTGTTTTACTGTTGACAAAATCCTCAAACAGACCCAAAATTATTTCTTTTGCACTAAAAAGGCAAGAAAATGTCATAATTTCTAATCCAGTCTATTATGGATAGCCAGAAATTTTGTATAACATTACATTCCCAAAAAATGAGAAATTTTGTTTTCTCTGATTTCTGAAAAAAATGTACATAGTTCAGTTTCTTTTAATTTACATTTCAATAAAAATGAATTACATTGTAGAATCCTATGAACAATCTTAAAAGGGAAATTTTGTAAAAAACGAATTTCTGGTTATAATAAAAGGTATGGATTAAATCATATTCCAATCTTCATTCTGCATATTCAAATCTATTTCCCATTTATTACAGGAAAATAAAGCTAATACTTTATTATCTTCCAAAAATAATTTATAGAAATATTTACAGGGTTTTGGTTCCTTTTTAACTTTATCTACCAAACTATTTTCAATATTGTCCAATTTAGAACTACCTTATATCATACTTTTCCATACATTTGGAATTGCACTTGCCACAAAACTCTACAAAATTAGTATTGATATTATACTTTTTTTTTTTAATTCTTCATATTAGAATAATGTGTTATTATCTGACACCAGATAATTAATAAAGAATACACAATTTTCAATATATTTGATCTTCAAAATTATCTTGCCATCTACTAGTATTTTGATGTTTGGTTTCAGCCATATGAACATCAGTATTGATTTCAACTTTTACCTTATTTTGCAACTTGGAAAAAATTACCAGGATATCATGCCAAAAGGAATTGACTTGATACGCTAAATAAAGTAATCAATCTTGACTTCAGTGTAAAACTTTGTCTCCCCCAAATTTTTGTATATAACTTAGCAGCAACACTCTCCAAGGTGAGTAATTCTGTGGATCTAATAATTTTTAAACTATAGCAAAAATAGTAAATATAAGGCATCTTAAGACCACCATCACAGTGTTCGGACATTTCCACTGGTCTTTTCACTTTATCTGGTTTTCCTTTCCATGAAAAAATTGTAAAATATGTTCTGAATCTTATTCAGACCACCTTCTGGGGGCTAGGAAGGACAGTCAGAACTTGAACCAATATTGGAAGTGCTAAAGTTTTAATAACTACAACCCTTCCAATATATGTTAGTTCTCTTTAAGCCCAAATATTTAGCAATGACTTAATACTGTTTGTATTAGGTTTAAAATTACATAAAGTCTTATCCACTTAAGCAAGCTCCAGCCATATACATAATAGTCTGAACCTCCCAGAAAGATTCCAAACAAGATTTTTGTCTGGCAAAGTTTGTCCATACTACCCTTTTTTGGTGACCCAATCCATATGGCTTCAGTTTTGTCAACATTACACTTAAGTCCAGCACATTCTGAAAATCTATCAAACAAATGTTAACATTGATTCAGGGACTTTTGATCACCATCCAGGACTAAGGAAGAATAGTCGGCAAATTGAATCAAAATTTTGGATTAGTTAATCTTTTTATTACATTGACCATGGGCTCTTAAATGGAAATAAAGTAACAAATGAAAGGAACTATATCGTTTTCTATGCTTTCTTAATTGTATTGATGCAACAGCATCGACAACGTCATGATAACACCCATTGTTGAAAGATGTTATAGGAGTGAAATTATCAAATTTATGTTACATGTGAAATTATTGGGTTTTTTTTTTATTTCACTTGGAAACCACGATACTAGTAATTCATTGCAACCAATGTAATAACTATTTTATCATTTTATCCTTTTGGCATATATTGAGTTGATTTTTAATTTAATCATTGAGAGAACAGTAAAGAACTCATGGATAATAAATTTGTCTTGAATACATATATGCATAATGTTTTAGTGGTTTTTTGACGTTGAACTAGCTTTCAGTAACTGCAAATTCTCTCAGATCGGTACTTTGTGTCTTAAATCCTATTTTTATTTCTGTTGATGCCTTATCAAGTCTATTTCAACTGATCTTTACAGTTTGCTCTTATGTTGCTCTGTTTAACAACTGACCCAAGTAAGGGGAAGGTTTTGCACCCGCAATATGTTTAATCCCACCGCTTTCAGTATGTGACTGTCCCATGTCAGAAGACTGTAATTTAGTGGTGATCGTTTGTTGTTGTATATCATATTTGTTTTTCGTTTATTGTGTTCTACATAAATCAGGCCATTGGTTTTCGCGTTTGAATTGTTTTGCATTTTGCCATGTGGGGGTTTTAATGGCTTGCTTAAGTATTTTCTACCCCAGGAATAGTTTACTTTAGCTGTATTTGGCAAGACCATTTGGAAATGTTGTGTCCTAAATGTTCTTCGTTCCTTATTTGGTCTGTTTAACTTTTTGATTCGAGGGTCACAGATGAGTCTTGTTGAAGGTTGTACGATGACATATAGTTGCTAACTTGTACATAGTTTGGTCTATGGTGGATAGTTGTCTCATTGGCAATCATACCACATCTTCTTGTTTTTGTAATAATCAGTTCCGATGAAAGCTTATTCCATTTGTTCTGCAGTCTATGGTAAATATTGCATTGGGAAAATACTCGACGAGCAGTACGGATTCAATGTAGCCTCCAATTAAACACTAATTTAGGTTGGTTTTGTTTCTTTTCACAAGTTCAAATGATTAAATTTGTTTCTAATTCCACTATGAAATACTGTTTCCAGCATCTTGTGGCACATCTGCTTCACTTTCTTGTCTGCATGGAGGATTCGTTGATAAAACCTGTACATGTAAATGTCCTGACGTATTATCAGGAGAGTTTTGTGAGCAGCCAACTAACACCGGTAAGTACACAATCTGTATTTGGTAATGATTATGTAATAAAGAAAACCTGGTATCTAGTATGTTATAATGAATTCAAAAATGCAGTAGAAAACTGACGGTAAAAGTTTATAACAGGTATAAACAAACACAAAAGAAAATGACAATCGTGTTTCAGAGTCAATAGCTTAAGGTTGCAAGTTGAAATAGGGTAATGATCAATATAAGTTATGAAATTGAGCAACCAATTAAAAACCTGTGTGACCTAAATTTATGAAATACATTAATTTGATAAATCCATATGTATTAATTCCAGATTCATGTGGAGGTACCATAGACCTAGCAGCTGGTGAGACAAAAATCCTGACATCACCAAGCTACCCAAATAATTATGGTCTTGGTTTAAAATGTACATGGTTAATTAAAGTAAGTATGGATTGTGAACTTTGAAATCAGCTGAACAAGCAGTTTTCTTAAATTTATGATCAACGTAATTACGTTTTAATTGAGCATGTTAAGTTAGGTGGGTCATTTTATTTTGTAGGGAAGAGAAATCCGTCTTCTTGACATGATTAAAACACACTGAGGCTGATGGAAGGAATATTGTAAATAGTAAATTGACAGCCGATTAATGTCGGAAAAATATTTTTTAAATAATGAATTGTTTGTACTTATCATTTTTTGTCGAGTTTTTTGTGTATGTAAATTTTATTTGTCATTTGTTCTTTGTAATTTTCTTTCTTTTTTCTTTTTTGAAAACATCTACTCCAAATTCGGGAATTGGAAAGAAAATGACTGCCATGCAAATAGGAAGTTTTGGTTGCTACAAAACAAGGTTCAACCCTTCAACTTTCCTTCAAAATTGCTTTACTAAGTCAGGACATTGCAAATTGTTGTCGTTAGAATTGTTTGTAGAAATTTCCCAATAACTATCAATGCTATAGTAGTTACAATTGAATCTCTTGTTAATATACTTTGAACCTCAGTACATTCGTTAACACTTCTTAACCGAGATTTAATTTGGTTAACATCTTAAATACAGATGTGTAACGTGCTGGTTATGTGTATTGCATTATCTAACTCCCTGTTGTGTAGAAACTTATTTATTGAATATAGGATATTCTCTCTCTTTGTATTCAAATATAGGATATTTCAACTACTTATTTTTAAAATAAAAAGGGAATAATAAATCTTAAGTCGAAGAAAACAAAACCAACACCATCATGGGTATATGAAAAACGAAGAAAAGACCGACAAGAGTCTACAGAACAATACACAGAAACCCTAGTATCGAGGAACACGAATTTATTTTTATTTAAAATTTTCGATATCAAGTATTATTGAAACTTAAGTATTTTCGCTTGTCTCGAAACCTTTGCTTACACTTGAAACACACATACCTTTTCTTTCTATATGTTTAATGTGTATTCTGTGTGACAAAATGTACTCACACTTAGATTTCATTTTAATGATCTTATAAAAGTTTCCATACAAAATCCTTAAAAAGGAGAACGTGCAACAATATAGTATAATTGGACAAAGATGAATAGATAGGGCGTCAATAAATCAAAGTATTTGTTTATTAATGTTCAGTTTTTATTTCTAACTATTTTGGGGGAGGTGGGATCGGTTCTTATCTCTGACATATTAGGTTGAATTTTGACACTTTTTGCTTCCTACTTTATTCCCGGGATGGTTTATTTTTCAGAACACGAATGGATTTGGTCAAATGAATAACACTCTTTCCTTTAAAATAATTAAAGTAATACTTTCAATTCACTTTTTACGCGGTGATGTACCTTTTCAGAGAAGAATATATTTTTCATTACAAATTGGCTTTTTGTAATTTACTATTAGATCATATATATAACATTGAATATTTAATAACTCACGACCTTCTTTACATGGTTATAATCCTGCCTATGGTCACTTACAGTTTCTGATATCTTTTGAATTTCATTTATTTTGTCATCTCCGGTTTATTTGATAAATAATAGCATACACTCGGGTGGCTTAAAGGGATAATAATGATGGACGCTAATAAAAACAAGATAAATAAATCTTCATCTGTATTTAAATGTGATTTGATTTACTTATATCTTATAATCGCTGTATTATATTAGACAATGAATTGAATGTTATAAATAATTTGACAGGGGGTACCAGACAATATTATTAGAGCCACTGTTACAGATATGGAAATAAGCAATAACGACAATGCTTGTTATCACTGGATACAGATTCGTTATCATCTACTTGGCAATATGGGACCACTGTAAGTCATAAATAACCTAAGCATTCATTTGATCATATTATTGTGTAAATTTGGCATTATATTTTTTTTAAATTGTTATTTTTTCTTTTGCTTTCTTCCCATTTCGACCAACAGGTTTTTATGAACACCGTTGGTAGATTCCAAGGTCGCTCCTCCTACTCGCGCTATTATCGTAGTCAGCACGCCGATTGTCACGTTTGTCGTTCAAGAGTTGTAGTCTTTGATTGTTTGTCGTTTCTGTGTGATTACTTAAATAAAACTGCCAAAGAATTATTTTCAAATCTAATATTTAGTTATAAAATGGAGGTTAAGTTTGAATTTGAATATTTTGATAATTCCTCTTACTTCAATATAGATTCCACTAAATTCCTCTTACTTCAATATAGATTCAAATAAATTCCTCTTACTTCAATATATATTCCAATAAATTCCTCTTACTTCAATATAGATTCCACTAAATTCCTCTTACTTCAATATATATTCCACTAAATTCCTCTTACTTCAATATAGATTCCACTTAATTCCTCTTACTTCAATATAGATTCCACTAAATTCCTCTTACTTCAATATAGATTCCACTAAATTCCTCTTACTTCAATATAGATTCCACTAAATTCCTCTTACTTCAATATAGATTCCGCTTGTAATGCCTACATATTAACCGAAAAGTTTTTGGAATCACAATCGAACTGAAAGTTTAAAAGATTTTTTATTACTCATTTTATCAATACTCATACATTAACTTTCTAATCTCTGAAATACTAGAGTACTTTCATATTGTGATAATTTTGAAATCATTTAGCTTAGTGTAACACTAACTGATGGAATAATTATATTTCTAAATATTTATCACAAATCTATGAATATTTTTTTTTTATCTTGTACACAATATACCCTCATTTAACATATGTTTGGCTCCGATATTTGATAGGGATAATCCATCTTTATTTTTTTTTCGGTGTAGCTAGAAATAGAAACAAATAGTGATTCTTTTAGTTTTCAGTCAGCATAAACTCTTAACATTATCATATTAGACAGTATTTCATGTTATTACTTATTATGTATATTTCGCTATAATGAATGATCTTATTATTCTGTAGTTCATTTATACATCTTGGTATATAGGAGGGGATGGACAGGGGTAAGGGAACAGGGGAATGAGGGGACTTGAAGCGGGAGTTAGAGGCGGGAACTGGGGAGAGAGGGGCAGTAAAAATTAGAAAAATGTTTTGAACGATTTTTGCCCTGGCGTAAGGGGAGAGAAGTGAGAGTTGTGGGGCGGAGGTAGGGAAGTAGGAATCAGGAACCCGTGTCCAACCGTCATATATTATTGAAGACGATGATTGATAACTTGATAACTTTAATTGTATCCTTCTGTTATTGGAAAATAAACATATTTAAGCTGATGCCGACGGAGCCATAAAAACGACTAAATCTAATATGGGAATGAACATTCATGAATTTCTATGTACTTTGCACTCCTCAACTCGTTCTTTAAACCACACTTTCCTAAACTTTAGTAGAATGTCACGCCTATCCTAATTACATAAATTGATTGATTGTTCCTGACCTAACGTTCATTTTCCAATATTACATGCATAATAAGGACGAGAAAAAATAAATTAATAAATAGGTAGATAGATTCTGCAAGGTAGGTGGACAGTATGAAGAACTCGAAAGGTCAAACATAAATTGTTGATGTGTACATTGTATTGAAGGAGATGTGGTAGTACGGACAGTGAGAACAATGAGATCTGGGATACTACAGTAGACGAAGAAATGAATACAATGATCATCATATTTGACAGCGATGTAGGAAGTGATCAAGCAGCATCTAGAGGGTTTAGTATGACCCTTCAGTCTATTGGAACAGGTAGGTTAAAACTAAGGAAGTGAAATATCGTTTTCTAACTTTATCATTAAGTTGCGTTGCGAAGACAATTTCAGTTTAAAAAAGGTATTTTCTTATTTTTATCTGTTACAGCCATTTTTCTAAAGTTAGTCAATTTGTAAAATGACTAAATTTTCAGGCAATTTATAAAATGCCTAACTATGACAGGCATTATATAAAATGACTAAAAATACCTAGTCATTTTGTAAAATAACGGGAATTTTGAAGCAAAATTCAACAAATTGCCTGTTCCGTTTCAGAAAAAAAGATAATTATCATTGAGATGCATATGACCAAAAACACAATATCTCGCATAGAAAATAACTAATGGTTCGGTAAAACTGAGTTTATTCTTCAAAAGCCTGCAGAGAAAGTTTGGATTCTTTTTAGAGAAACTACGTTAAGAATGTATATTAGATAGTAATTTTAGGATAGTAGAAGGACAAATTATTTTTACAATATAACAAAGTTTACACACGAATTTAATAAAAAAAATCTTAGATTTAAAACAGAAGTGTGTAATATGAAGCAGAGATAAAGAAGCATGTTTTTAGGACGAGAACATATTGATAACAAATCAAAGAGGTAAGTTTTGCAATGGATTAACCAGGAGAAAGAACAACAATTTTGACAGCCTCTTGAAATCTTAGATAGGGACGGAAACGTTACCTCGAACTTATATAACCTGCACAGGCAACCGAATTCCACCTCTTCATATAGCATAGGTTTCGCCATACAAGGCCATGTTTAGCTGTTATGCAAATATATGAGTATCTTCATCTTCACTGTCAAAAGGGAATGGAATTATTGTGTCTTTGCAATCTGATGAATTAATGCAACAGTAGTTAACCATTGTTAAATAAAGGTACATCAACAGGATAAACGTCGCCTGCTATGGACGCATCACTCGACTGCCTCAGCCTGTAGATGCTCTAATAAGCAGAAAGACGTCAGTCATCCTATTCATGCTTATGTGACTTTTAATCTGATGAGAACACATGCAAAAGAGGATATTCATGTATGTGCATTTTGCGACACTGGTCAAACGTTTAGTGTTTCATTCTAAAACATATTAACAAAGCTGAATGTGTAATGGTCTGGGTTTCACCATTTATGCCAAACAATGTATTTGCAAAATAATCAGGACAAATGTGTAACAGATCCTGTCATCCAAACGTTATATGAAATAAAAAAGAATTGTCGAGCTCGGTGCTTGTTGTAATTTATATGATTCAGTAAAATGTATTTCAAATTATTATAACTCTTAAAGTGCAAGCTTTAAAATTCAGTTATTATCATAGATAAAACTGCTCTGTTGTTCGATACTTTCAGTTGCCCTGTTTTTTGTGAATATTTCATAGTATAAAATAACTCCAGGCATTTTGTAAAATCCCTTTCAATTTTTCCAGGGATTTTGTAAAATGCCTGAATAAATTAGTCAATACATAAAATATCTGAATCTTACAGGCATTTTAGAAAATGCCTAAAGTTCAGGCATTTTACAAAATGACTAAATTTAGAAAATGCCTGTAACATTTCTAAATTTAACTGCGTTTTTGCGTTTCAAAACATAGTATGAGTACATCTTATGTAAATCATAAATGTTTTCAGGTTGTGTTAATTATCCCTGTAAGTATGGCAAATGCGAAAGTCAATTAAACACAGACAGCTACACCTGTACATGCGACCAGGGATTTTCTGGAACCAACTGTGATGTATCCTCAGGTATGACATAAAGAAGAAGAGAATACTATATTATTGTTTATCTCTGTTGGGGGTTTATCAAACAGGTTCTTATAATATAAAAAGTTTCTTATTCCTTTAATAAGAATAAATCACATGTTTGATAACTCACCACATGACAATTATTTTCACAATTAGTGACTTCTTGTACCAAGAGCACCTCAGATGATGGATGAAGAATAAAATAATTAAAAAAAATACAACTAGTACCAGAGAGGTCAAACTTTTGCATTTTTTTTTTTGTTAAATTGAGTACTTATCACATATGACTATGTTTGATATCAATAACACCAATTTTACAACCTTGATATCAGTATGTTACAGTCTAATTAAAATTTCGTTAACCTTCAATTTTACAGTGTATTCAGCTTTTGGTTGTACGTCAGAGGTTGGTTCAACTTGTATGTTAGTTCAAGAAGAAAATAGTGATATCTTTGATTGGGAAACTCTTTCTGTGAGTATACTGAATATTATTTTCCTAGAATTTTGCCGTGCACTTAAAAAATCACTGAATTTAAAAAAAAAATGTTTTCCGAAAAGCAATATTCAAAGAGACAGTCAATGTTCTAACGGATACTTATATGCACCCTAGCTAGTCGACTTGAACTGAAATGAAGCAGAATTTATACAACATTTTCTTAAAGGTGTCCTTGAAAACTGTTTTACTATCTATCATAATCCTTAGATGCATTTTATATGTTATTGATGGCCTATCACCCGATAAACCTCTTTCAGTGAATACTTAAATCTCATATATATCTCTTTGAGCTCGAAGTTAAGATTACTAAAGAGACAAACAGTATGATTTGATTTAAACATTTTCTCAATATCTCTGTTGAAGAAATAAAAACCTAGATCCATGACAGTTTTCCTTTTGTCAACGTCTCATTCTTGATTAGCATCATACCATCTGTCCAAGCCTACAGCATTCCATTATCTAAATCAAAGCATTTTCTCATTATGTTAATTTCACAGATAGAGGTATACTCCTAATTCTAATATGACTTGCTTCTTTCTCTTTGTAAACAACACCGTGATAAAATTTCACATGTATTGGAACCTATTTGCAAACGCTATGCCGATTTTATTGTTTTAAAAATTGCAATTGAAAAAGGACTACAGAACTTTTATTCTTATTCGGATGCATAACAAAAAGAATTAATGCACAAAAGCTCGGAGAAATCTACAAAATCAAAATAAAATAAAATTCCGCGAAAGTCCATTAATGCTTTTGGCGCATTTAAGTCATTTCTAAACATGACGTCATACAAATGAAAACACTAAAGCTGAAGGTTTTTCCGTTACGTGAACCATCGAAATTCGAATAATATTACATTCAAATGGATTTTTGAGGTAGGTGTTGTTTTATTTTCTATTTTATTGCATTATTCGCATATTTACTGATTTCAGCAAGTCAACATGGCGGCTCCTTAGTTACGAAATGTCAACTTTGGATTTGACGGTAGCTTACGAGAAAAAACATGTAAATTAAAAATGGCAAATGTTGGGTTTGAGAATTAAAAGAATTATGCACATTTTTTCTAGCGGTTATTTACGAAATAATTCATGCAAGCTACAGATTCATTAGAATGTTTTAGCTTTATCTAACAGGGAGTAAAAAAGAACAGCCACACACACGGCATACACACCCTCGCTTCAGTTTTTTAATGACCGTATTTGTCCTATTAGAATCGAAATAATTCATGGAAGCCATAGATTTGTTGTAAATTTACACATGGCCTGGGCCGTGATATTCGTTAATTTTATCCCTCGCTAACGCCCAGGATAAAATTCGAATATCACGGCACAGGCCATGTGTAAATTTCCAACAAATCTATGGCGTCATGAATTATTTCTTAAATCAACAACCGCACCAAATGGTTATGAATGAGTTAAAACTATCACTTCACATGTTCAATGATGGCCACCACAATTTTTTTGACCGTTGCGAAGCATAAGCTTCTCGATTTCATTTATGAAACAAACATGTACGTTGTTGTGAAATGACTGTGCCTATGTTTAGAATTAATATCGATCAATTTCTTTAAAATGTGAAGCATTACTAAAATGTTTCTTTTTTCGTTGTTGTTAATATACAAATATAAAGAACATAGATGAAAGAAATAAATGAAAGAAAACATCTAAAGTCTAATAATGCAACTTTTCTCTTTATTAATGAGTAAAAACCCATTTATCTATTTCAATTTTACAGGAACAAGATTTTTAATTTATTTAATTTAATTTGTACGGCAATTACGGTAAATAAATTTTCTTATTTTAGTACACAAATATTACATATTTATTGAACAAATGTCTCACTTCATTCAGGAAGCGGCACCAAATAGTGATTATACTGGTCCAAAAGCTGCTAAAGAAGGAAATATATACTTATATACAAAGACTTTTAATAGACGAACAATGGGCGATACGGCTATTATGTATACAAATATGGTTTTACCAAGTGAGTACAATGTCTCAAAAGACGCATTGCTTCAAGTAAAATTCGTACTTTAATTACATAAACATATTATTGATTCTTAGTTACAGTTTAGCAAAGGCGTTCGAAAGTTATGCAGTAGCTACACATCTAATCATGGCTAACTTCACCTTTTGTAACAAAATGATACCCTGTTAACGCCAATCTTCTGAGGCAACATGTTCGAAAGCTTTCTTTTATAGCAACATTGTTTGTAGTAATGTAAAGTTGACCATACGTTAAAGCCATTTCGATTCACAATATTATTAAATTAACGGGCTTTTACTTTTTGTGCTTATTGTTATATAATATTACCATGTGAAGGGTTCTATTTTAAATTCTGTTTACCTAAAAGCTTAAATACCAGTTTGATATTACAACCAGTTAATCATACTACATGTAACAACATCATGCTGCTATAAAGTCATGATGATATGGCAGGTTATTAACCTTCTGTCCTCTTGTTTCGTAATGACATCATATGATACCATGTGTCCGAATGCTTTCACAGATTTTGAGATTATTTGTCATCGGATGTAGTTGACCATATTTTTAGATTTTAAATAAATATACGCAATATTTCGCTAGACAAACTAGCTTCATCAGACGTGTGCATCTATCCAGGTGAAATCGGATACATGACCACAAATATTGTTGTAGCTTAAGGATGTATTCTTCTGACGTTTCAGTCTCGTTGAAATCTCGTTCTGGAATAATTTCCAAAACATGGGATACAAGTGGAAAATATCAATGAATTAAAAAAATGTTATAATCAAACTTAACTCTGTGAAAACATTGCGTATTTACAATGAATAGTTTTTGAGTAATCAATTTTCAAATTTTATTACCAATCAAGTCAGTCTTTTTAGCCAAAACATTTTGAGAAAATGGATGAGGGATACAAGAAATTATTTTACCAGAAACATGTACATCCCATATCACTTTTTTCTTTTCAAATTTCTTAGATATGTATTTTTCATTTACAACAAAGAAGTTGAAATAATATGCATTTTGTTCTTTAAACAGAGAAAAATCACAAATTTACAAAATTGATAGCATGGTAAATTTGACATAAAAAAGCATCAAAATATGATAAAACTTTCTTATATTAACACCTACCTATAGTTTTTTTTTAAGTTAAATTCATTCAGATTGGTCCACTTCATCTTTATTGAAAGTATGGAAAAAAGTTTAATTGTGGAACTGTGATTTTTTCACAAAAATAGCCCCAAAATAGGTAAAAATTAATGAAAAATGGGAAAATCATCATCAATGGGTACTTTTAAAGGGCCGTAGCAAAAAAAGAAGTGCACCACCATATGATTTTTTCTTCACCAATGATTTTTTACAGTCATAGAAACCCAAAAATCAGGTTAAGAAAAAAAGTTTAATTCTAGAAATTTTTGGATCCTCAGAGGTGTACATCCTTAAACTACACTCAGTTGGAATAAAAAGTTTAACATATTTATTGATGTTGTATAAATTGTACGAATTTCAAGATCACCCCTTGTCTTTTGCGTAAGCAATTTTTTTAAATTCAGGGGTCAAACAGTGGTTCTTATCATACTTGATCTCCTTTTTAAACACAATAAAAACTATATATATATATAATTCATTTCAAATTTAGCCCAACAATGTTAGATCTTCAAATTTGCGTTAGCAAATTTTTGTTCTTCCCTCAGCGGTATTCGAACCCTTGCTTCTGTGACACCGTGGCAACACCGCCTGCACCGTGTCCAGCGCCCTAGACCACTCGACATATTCTTCTTCCTCTTGGCTTTATCTATCTACTTGCCACTTTACATCATATACTGTGTTACAACCCTAGATAAAGCCGACGAGGAAAGGCATTACATCGACCATCGAAAGCTATATTTATATACACGGTGCAGGCGGTGTTTATCCTGTCCAGTACTACAGACAAAATTTCACATTACATTTCATTGCATATAACATAATAATCATCACTGGAAGTTAACCAATCAAATGTTCACGCCTTTTTTTTCTGTTTACGAGCTTTAGTAACCATGTAACCTCAAGTTTCCAAAATATTTTATAGATACATCAAATAAAAAAGAATGGTGCTTTGAAACACCCAAGATATGTTTATGACTGAGAAATTTTTTACTGCAATGAAATGTAGGATTAATTTCCTACAACTGTCAAACTCAAGGGAAATTTGTTTGCGACCCTTTTTCGTACGAAACCGGATGTGACGTACTATGATTTGGTGGTAATACACCTAAATAAATGACCATTTTGCTTTAATCTAGAAACTTTAGTGCAGAAATGCCAATTGTGAAGTCACTTTGACGTCACAAACATGTCGAAATGTACACATTTCACTTAAAATGGCCATTCCACGCATAGTGTTGGTCAAAATATATATGACCTTTACCCCAAAAGAAATAGTACATACATTAACATTTTTGAAAAAATACATTTTGTTTCATAATATCCTGTTAGGTAATACTCTTGCTTATATCTTAACTATTGAAAATAAGATCCCAAAATGAGGTTCTGAAAGCAGTTTTTGATGATTTGCACTAAATGTAAGAAGTTTGAATATTCGATGTCCATGTTGTTCTGTTTAAACTCGCGTCTTAAGGTCGTGCCCTTTGTGACAATTTTGTTTAAGTTAATCGACTGCATTGTTTACTTATTCCGTAATTGTGATCCCAATTCATCTTCTTTTCCATTCTTTCAAATTTTCAATTAATAATGATATCAATGCATCGCTCTCTTTTTTCTTTGATATTACTTGCAACAAAAAACCTAAATTGCCTAGTAACATGATGTAAACCTGAAGATATTGTGGTAATCAATATGTAAGACAAAAAGGACAGGAAGTGTGAAGCCACAAACACGTCTATGTTTTATCTGAGAACTAAGAAATTCAAAGTTTGATTTACCAGCTTTTCTACAACATTGGCCTGATAATAATTTTATGAAATTCCAGTCTCTCGAAACTGTCCGGTAACAACCAGGACAATTTCACAATCAATAAGAACATAACCCTAAAATTTGCAATCTGTTTTGGATTAAACGTCTTCAGACAGCATAGCGTCTTGGTCTAAATGACAATATCATCAGGACAAAGGAACAAATCTAAGAACATCAAGTTAATTTTACACTTAAGAATACAAATATGTCTTATCTCTATTAAAGATTAATGATAAACATCAATTATTATGTAAACTAGATAAAATACTCGTTAGTAAATAACATGATGTAACATCGATTTTTTTGTCCACTCTATGAGTGTAGGCGTATCATTACAGCATTTTTCCACCATAAGGTGTTTCCTCCTATTGAGGAATAGACCTGCAGGTAATGAAAAGACATTTTCCTGAAATAAAATACTAAAACAGAGGTACTGATTGTATGACCATAACTAGTACATGAATTGACTCCACCGTCCAAATTTAAAGCTCCATCTTTGAATAACATAGAACAACCTTCTGTTTCGTTTAAAAATAAAAATATATAATAATTGTCACATTACACATCAGTTACATTAGACATCTATGTAGAAATTCTCTATCAGCATGATACTGTAAAACGTCTAATTTTACATATGGCCCCTATGACAATTTTTACAGGGAACCTTAATATTGTTTAAGTCAGAGAGGTTTTAAACGTTCTGAAAGGCCTTAAATATCGCCTACCATCGAAAATAAATCTAAATTTTGCCACGGTTTTAAAGATGCTATTTCATGATGTATTTGTGTGTCTGTTTGAATTTTTAGTCAGTTGTGTTGTATGTCTGTGAAAGAGAGGCGAAAGATACCAAAGGGACATTCTAACTCATGAGTAGAAATAAAACTGACAACGCCATGATATAAAACGTAAAAATCCGAAATACAAATTACAGTGAACAAAACACAACATAGAAAGCTAAAGACTGAGTAACACGAACCCCATCAAAAACCGTGGTTTTCTTAGGTGCTTCGGAACGGTAGGCAGATCCTGCTCCACATGTGATACCCGTAATAAATACGTTGATAATTTATATGATGTTTGTTTACACAGTTTTTGCTGCTGGATCCCAGTTATTATCACATTACCTATTATGTCTGTTTTGGTTGCTCACCCAATTTTTTAATATAACGGAAATATATGCAAAAATCATACAAGTGCGAGGTTTTAGCTAGGTGTAAAATCAGGTCTAAATAACCGTTTTCTTTGGAAAATACCTGTACCAAGTAAGAAATATGACTGTTGTTTTCGACGCGTTCCGTTGGTTGAAAACGTGTGATTTTGTCAGATTTTATGGACTTTCCCATTTTGAATTTACCTTGAAGTTCGGTATTTTTGTTTTTGAAAAAAAATAATATAAGGCCACTTCAAACTCATCACTTGTTCTACGAACTATCATGTAAAACAAAAGGAGCTAATGAGCAGAATTTTTACTTTATGTTTTTCCTTAAAGACTATTTTAGTAAGAAATATCTAAAAGTAGGTGAGATAAAGGCATATCATAAACTTTTTCTTCAAAATATTTGTTTTTAGGAACGCTAAATATTTTGTAACACCAACATAATTGTAGTTTTCTATGAATTGTTGTGCGAGCGTTGACATTTTAAGAATGCAATTTGAAACAAAAGAAGTAAAAATAACAAACATACCGAACTCCACGGGCAATTCGTTTATAAAATGGCAAAATCAAAAGGTCAAACACATTCAACGAATGGAAAACATATATCATATTTCTGACTTGGCACAGGCATTTCCTTATGTAGAAAATGGTGGATTAAACCTGGTTTAATAGCTACTAATAACTAAACCTCTCACTTGTATGACAGTCGCATAGAATTCCAATATACCTAATGTACTAGGAAAACGTGTAGTGTTAGTAAAAACAAACAAGACCGAAAACAATGTAAGGATGGTATGACTTAAATACTACATGGAAGTTACTAAAACTGGATTTATAATTTTCTCTACATTCAGTCTTGTGCTCTCTGCCAAATACAAATATTTGTCAGATATCAAAATTTATCAATAATATAGCAAACCAAAATATCATAAAGAGGAGTTTTCTAAATTGAATAAATGGATTTTTAGAAAAAAAATATGCTTTTCTCCTTGAATCCATTTAAAAACCTTTTTCAGAAATGAACACGACCAGTTGGTTCTTAAGCCATAGTAGTTTTTTTCTTTATTGTTTTATCATAAATCGGCGTTGGTTTTCATTAGATTGATGAATAGAAACCATAGATCGAAACAACTCTGGTTGATAATTTTACTTTTGAGGTATATGTTTCCATTTTAAAGTCCAATATACTTTTGGATTGTTTGGCGAAGTTTGTGAGAATCTTTAAAGTCAAGAAACTATTCTGATTGTTTGATTCGGGAGTTTTTATTTTGCAGAGGTTGAGAGATGTTTGTCTTTCTGGTATCATATGTACAGTTATACGGCTTCACATATGGGGACATTGAATGTTTTCATGACAGACGATAGTGGATCCAATTTATTGTTCACAAAAGTTGGCAATCAAGGCAACATCTGGAAGCAAGAAAAAATAAATATACCTGCTGTAGATAATTTGCAGGTTAGTAAAGCTTAGCTGATTTAGTTTCTTCTGTGGGAACATTTTTATACGAAATGATGAGTATATTCAAAATTTTGAAAATTTTTTACAGTAATGTTTTTGAGCATGAAAATGATCTATTCTCCGTATGTTGCTTTTGTACATAAACCATAATCAGATAGAATTATTATTCAACAATTTAACCAAAGCATGCAATACCATGAAATCAAAACTTATTATTACCTTATTTCTATTTGTTGGATTTCGAAACGTACATTGTATGTCCTTAAATGATATAATCGGAAAATGTCTAGGAGAGTGTTCAATCAGACAAACGATACATATTCCTAAAGACATGACATTAATGAAAACCACAACAGGTTGCCTCATGGAATCCCTTCTATACATGCATTTCGAATCACCATTTGTTGGGGGTAATTTTGGGCAATGTTGGAGCATACGTATTTGATTAGAAAGATCACTACACCTTGTATGTATGTAGTATGTTGGCTTAATTTCGACTTTAAGGATGTTCGTTCCTCTAGGTTTTGAATTTTTTGCCAGATATTCGGAATCCTCTGGTTTTATCACTGTAGTGCCATTAAATATTTTGCCCGGAAACCCCTATTTTCTTTTTATAATTTTATTACATATAGTTTAAAAAGCCATATTTGAAAATCTTTTAAAATCCTTGTTATGTTTTCATAGTTTTTGAAAGAAAAAAGGTGTCAATGTTAAATGTATGAAAAATCACTTCCCGCCAAATTTGCAATGGCTTATATCTCAAAAACAAAGCACATGGACGTACCCTTCAATTTATTCTGCTTTTTAGTTCTTTTATTCATATACTTTCAATTATAACAGTCTTATAAAATTCTCAGTTTTATTATAAAAATCTTGTTAGCGAACATCCTTGAATACAAATTTGATTTAAATTAAATTGACATTTCCCAATATAAGCATGTGATATGATTAATAATTCTATTTTTCATCTGTTGATTTGTTGTGTAGTTACATTTTTCTCTCTCTTTATTTTCAGTATTGGAATTAAACGTATAAGATTATTCGTATCATTAATATTAAGTTATCAGGCATATATCTATCTTTCATATTGTTGTGTGTGTCATTTTGTACATGTAACAGAATTATGTCTAATTAAAAAAATAAATTGAAGTCTCACAAAACAATAAATGCACTTTCTGTAAGGACTCGATAGAAACTATAGAACACATATTCTGGACATGTCTAAAAGTATTTGGTGTTTGGGAAGAACTTAATAAATGGATATATTCAAAAGTCCAAATTGAACTACCACTTAATTTAGATATAATCTTATTTGGGATATTAGAAAAAACAGAAAAAAAAAATACATAAGAAACCTCATAATATTATTATCTAAATATTATATATACAAAACAAAAATGCAATGTGGACAAGTAAATATTGTAGCCTTAAAAAATTATCTTAAAGAAAATTTGTTTATTGAAAAAATAATATTTATAAAAATAAACCATTGCAAAGAGCGTACTCCTGCTGGAACCCCTGGCCCCAACTAATAGACTGACTATACAAGTAAACTTTTACGTAATAAATATATCTACCCAGGTTAGGTTTATCTTTTTTTTTTACCATTATTATTATTTTTAAGTTTGTCAAATGATTCAAAATATCAACTATATGTACTTGTCTCAATTTTGCTGATGTACTATGGACTTACTTATTATGATGAGTTATGTATGTAGCTTTTGCCAATAAACACATTACAAAAAAAAAAAAAATATGTCTATTGTTTTCCTAGATTAAATTTGAATCAATAACTGGAGATACTACCTGGATGTCTGATATGGCTGTTGATGACATTTGGTTGATTCCCGGCACCTGTGGTTAGTATGGCACGAATAAGAAAGTGAAAATCTACTTCGATAAATAAATGCTGAAAAAAATGTTGGAAAAAAAGTTTATTAACACTTCTTACAAGGAAAGACTGAAAGTAAAGTTATCGAAACAAAACACATATTTCGCGTATGAACTCAGCAGATAGAAGCTTTAGTCATTCAGTTTGTATCGTCAGCTTTTTCTTAAAATTACAAAGTAAATTAACTAACTAGTGATTAAAAGGAGTGAGTTAAGCCTTTAGTTGAGGTGGTCAAAATTTAATAAATATGTATACTATAGGAGCTACGTTCGTTTTGCCTATGTAGACGTGCTTCTAGCATTCTAAATTATAATCAGATCACAGTGAGTGGTAACTTTATTTTTTTTATCGAGAGATTAACTAAATATTGATAAAAGCTTTAATCAATGAACGTTTGTCATATTTGCTAAACAATGAATAATTTATAGTTGTAAAAATATATAAAACTATTTTGATAGCGAAACAGCGAATTATGAAACTAGTGATGCCAAATCAGACTAATGTGATATTTATGATTAACTATTATCCGACTTTTCATGAGTTTTATTTTATTAAAAAGTTCATAATAATTAAAATGTGATTTTTTTGCCAAAATTCTTATTTTGCAAATTTTGCAGGGAAATCACCTGCTATATGATGCAGCTTTTGTAAAAGCATATTAAATAACATGACGACATGTCTATCTTCGTTGTTTTCTGGTAATCAATTATTCAATTTTGAATTAAAAATACTTGAAAATTGAAGAACGCACTCCTTTGTTTACAATTATCATGGTGCCAATGAAATAGGATATTTCCACTATGTATATAACTGATTATTTTTTAATTTATTTTTTCTGTAAAGTCATTACATATAGTAAAAATGATGGCCCTAATAAAGATTCAGAATTATCTTAGTAATTCAATATTCGAAAAATTTATTCAATTTAAAGAACTTTTTATATGGAATTAAACTTCGCATGTACACTTGGTTCTTGTATTAGATTTCAATAAACTTGGACATTTTATTTTAAGATTAAGAAAACATGAAATTTATGGAAGACCGAAAAATATTCGCGATGATTGACTCTTTTTTATGAAAACTTATACTATTTCAGTAATGGAAATGTTTGATGCCAGTTACCGTGTGCATGACATGTTGTTCTGAAATCTTCATCAGGATCACCATTAGCCAAACTTTACAATTTTCGAAAGAAATTAACTCAAAAGGACTTTTTATACTGACCACCACATATCCCTACTTTTATCATTTGATAAGAGAGTGAAAACCTTAGTTAAGTGGAATAAGATATCGTATTAACTGTAAATTACAGTTTAAATGTATCAATGAAATCGTACGAGCACCGAGGCACTTATTAACAACTCTGCATACGCATAGCTCAAACTTAACTTAATACAAACTATGATATATATTACACCTTCTATTGATATCACTAAATGAATCAACAAAATACGAGACAGTGAAAATAGTTAAGATATGCAAGAGTTCATATTAATTGCACAAGCACGTAAATGTATAGGCAAATTTGACTTAACAGATACTATAGCTACTGAAATAAACCTGTGTATACATGATTTGCAGAAAATCCTCTCGTACCTACTACAACAACGACGACAACAACTCCAACTACTACAACAACAACTCCTACTACAACAACAACTCCAACTACTACAACAACTCCAACTACTACAACAACATCTCCAACTACTACAACAACTCCAACTACTACAACAACTCCAACTACTACAACAACATCTCCAACAACGACGACTACTCAAACAAGTAAGCGAAAAAATTCCATTGTCAACTGTATTTGTTTGAACTCCTCTCATATCTTTAATAAATGTACAATTGTGTCGCAGGTAGTAATACCGCTGCAGTCAGATTATTTAACAAAAATGCATATCGATCTGATGACTTAGGCCCTTTCCAACGGAGTTTTAAAGTTTAGTCTTGTGTTGTTCTGTTACATCATTGTTCAAGGTTAAGGGGAGGGTTTGGCGCCAGCAAACATGCATAATTCATTCTGTATGCGCCTAGCTCTAGTCAGTAGTCTGTAATTCAATGGTTGTCGTTTGTTGCTGTATATCATATTTGCTCTTTGTTTATTGTTGTTTACATAAATCAGTCCATTAATTTTCTCGTTTGAATTGTTTTACATTTGTCATATCGGGGCCTTTATATATCTTACTATACGGTATGGGTTTGTTCATTGTTGAAGGCCATGAGGTGACCTATAGCTGTTAACTTTTACGTCATTTGGTCTCTGGTGGAGAGTTGTCTCATTGGCAGTCATACAATACCTTCTTATTTCATATATCGTGTATTACAAAATGATTAACGTACATTAACTTCTGCTAGAGAAATGTCATTATTTGCTATTTCTCTTATCATTGTACACAAATTGATATTTTCTGTCATAAAAGACAAAAACGTTCATATATTTAACACTGCTTATACGTGCTCGTGTGTGTAATTTCATAACGACTAATTGTTAAACAAGAATGTTCAATGTAACCCTCATGCAAATGAACAACTGTTCAGATGCGGATCCGGGATATTGAAAATGGAAAAAGGGGGATGGTGCGTTGACCCCCTAACTAGACGAATTCTGGGATGGAACAGGTAAAAAGTCTGAATTGACCATAAATGTAGCTCCAACAGGGGGGCCGGGCACCTCGCTCCACCTTAATCCGCATCTGCTGTATAATACACACAATGATTGAGTTCTATTGTGCATCTTCCACACGCGTGACCTATGTTTACACAAAGGTGTTGTTTCTTTTGGAATAGATGAAACAACAATTCGGATCTGAACTCGATTTTATTTTTTTAACATTTACATTCAATACAAGTCGGATCTTATCGATCAACAACAAAAAATCCAATTGTTCAAGGAACATTATACCCTCGTGAGAATAAGCGCAAGTAGCACCCTATATTCTGCGTTCCTACGCCTGTATAATTTTTGTTGTGGGTTTTTCCATTTGGCTCTAGTTTATGTCAAGGTATAATGTAACATATTATATTATCATTAATGGGTTGATTAAATCGAAGCCTGATCTAGATGTTACGGAACCCGAATAACAATCTTTGAAGGGGATTCACGTCTGATCTTGAAGTGATTCAGATCAGTCCTTTCAACTTGATTTCAATAAGTGTGAACAACCTTTAATACACTATTATATAGTATTCTTTTACGTGTACCTTTGTTTTGGGTGATATTATAACCGTAAGTGATTAATTTTTATCATAGCGTTAAATTATCTTTTTTTTTATTATGTAATTAAATGATTTTGTTTCATTATATAGTTACTTGATTTTTTTATTATAGAGTTCGGTGATTTTTTTTTATTATAGAGTTCGGTGATTTTTTTATTATGAAGTTAGGTGATTTTTTTTATTATAGAGTTAGGTAATTTTTTATTATAGAGTTAGGTGATTTTTTTCATTATAATAAATAAAAGTTATTGTATTTCATTAAAGAGTAAAGTGATTTTTTTTATCTAGAGTTAATAGATTTTTTTATTAATAAAAGTTAAGATACGATATTGTTTTTATTATAGAGTTTATTAAATTTATATTACAGAGTTAACTCAATTTTTGTATCATTAAGTTAAGTCATATGTTTAATTATAGAGTTAAGTGACTTTTTAACATAGAGTTATGTAATTTTTCTATTATAGAGTTAACTGATTTTTTAACAGAGTTTTATTCAATATATTTTATTTCATTTTTTTTTCTACTGATCTTGTTTAAAAAAATTAATTTGAGTATTACAAAAAAATGTTAAACCACTCGTTATAAAAAAGTGTCTTTCCAAACTAAACACCATCAACAGCGGTTGTATTTAGTTACATATTAGTCATGTATGACGTTTCAATAACTTGGTTTTGTTGGCATATCTATGATGGTATCTAGAAAAATGGTAAATAAGAAACATGGTATCGCCACTTGTCAACTACAGCTAGAAGACTGCATATTGACCTTTCTCTTATGATTGATGAATGTTATCTATTTCTTGTACGAAGAGATATTTCTCAGGAAAAAGTAATACGAAAAATGTGTTAATTTGATTGAACTATCTAGCATCCTGAAACGATGTTGCAACATAACCATTGGCTATTCGTTGGGTCATTGACGACTTCAAAATATCAAAACGATGTACATTTCCTCCATGGCAAGAAAGATATGTGAATTCTTCAATAATATACAAAAAACTTTTCACCTAAATATATTATTTTTATCAACTTTTATTACATTCTGAAGCTTACACAAAGTTTTTAAATGTCTGATGATAAAGTTTGACACCGGAACAGGACATATGACGTCATACTGGCATGTGCAAAAGACTAGATCAACGAGTCGCGGACTTTAGAGAATGTTTACGTAAGGAAAATAGGTTTAACAACTCGTGATATTTGAATATTGCTTGATATCAACTCTCGTTATTAAATTTAGATAGTAATAATAAACTCACCGAAGGCTCGTTCATTATTATGTATAGTGAAATTAAATTACTCGAGTTGATATTAAGCGGTATCCAACTCCTACTCGTTATGATGTTCAATAAGTACGAAGACATGTTGACAATAACAAACTATATTTATTCACCCTCTATACAGGAGAATATCATAATACATAACAATAATGTCCAGATCGAATCCGGTTAGGATATGTCAATATTACGATATGTGACATCCCCCTTTTTCTAAAATATGAAATGAAATGATTTAATGAATAAATGAATTTGAGTATTACCCAGTTGAAATTAATACTGAAATAGTTTTTGACTTAAAATTAATACTGACTAGATTAAAGTCTCTTTTCCAATTTAACTTAAAGTCTATATATTGTCTTTTCTGAAAACTAACTAAAACTAACTAAATGCTTCCTAGCAACTACTTGACAGTTCAATAAAATTATTTTACATAGTCATTTAATTTAGTTGGCACTTTTACTGTTCTTCCAGATCTTGTTACGGGTGGCTTAGATGGTTCAATACTTTCATTTTCCTCGGACGCAACGGATTCATTGTGGTCTAATGTTTGTGAAGTGTTACAGGCAGTTGAAGTTTTACGGACGGTTGTATTGTGATTGTTCTTGTAATGTTCGTTTTCAACTGTGTTTTCACTGTTAGCTGTTGGTCTTATATGCCTACGATTTCTTCTGTAACGCCTGCCATCTGACGTTTGTACTACATAGGTACGAGGAGTGTGGTGTTTTTGCATAGTTTTTCCTGCTTTCCATTTTCCCTCTGTGTACATAGCAACAGAGTCTCCTTGTTTTAGCTGTTTCAATTCAGGTCCACAATGTTTATCATAGTTGGTTTTTTATTTTCCTTTGGCGAGTTTCGAGTTTTTTTGAGAATTTCACGATTGTTGATGTTTTGCGGCATCATTAGCGGTAATGAAGTAGGTAGGGATGTTTTAATCTCCAATTTAGGAACAATTGTGCTGGCGAAAGATCAATGTCCAACGGTGTGTTTCGATAGTCTAAAAGAGCTTTGTGCGGATCCTTCGATTTTATAATTAGCTTCTTGACGGTTTGAACACTTCTTTCTGCTTGTCCATTTGATTGAGCAAAGTGTGGGCTGCTCGTTGTATGTTTAAATCCATATTCGGTAGCAAATCTTTTGAATTCTAATGAAAAAACTGAGGACCATTGTCAGAAACTAATTCGTCAATATATCCAAATCTTGACATTAGTCCTTTTAAATAATCAATTGTGTTTTTGCTAGTTTCATTGTCCAGTTTCATAACTTCCGGCCATTTTGAGTAGTAGTCAACTACTAATAGATAGTGTTGTTTTTGATATTCAAATAAGTCGGCAGCAAATTTTGACCAGGGTCGCTCTGGTATTTCCGGCATTAACATCGGTTCCTTTACATTAAGAGACTGATGTTGAGCGCAAAGTCCACATGATTTAAATTTATCCTCGATGTCTTGTCCCATGCCGATCCAGAAAAGTACATCACGTGCACGGCTTTTGCACTGTACGATCCCAAGATGTGATTCGTGTATTTTGTCCAACATTTCATTTTGTAGCGCTTTTGGTACAATTGCTTTGTTTGACCTCTACAATAGTCCATCGATGACTGATAGTTCATCACGGAAAGTCCAATATGGCCTCAAAGAGTGTAAAAGTTCAGATTTTTCATTTGGCCATCCATCAAATATGACATCTTGTAATTCCTGAAGGTGCTCATCATTTGCATTTTCCTTCTGAAATTTAGCATACATTTCTGGTGCAATTGGCATGTGTGATATCAAATGAATGTCATCCACGTGTAAGTCAGGTACTAATACTTCCTTTGTTTCCTTTAGGAACGATCTACTGAGATGATCTGCTAGATACATCTCTTTACCTGGTTTGTAATCAACTTTAAGATCATACTTTTCTAATGCAAATAATAGTATCTGTAATCTAGGCGGTGTTTGGTGGAGCGGTTTCAGGAAGATTGATTGGAGCGGTTTATTGTCTGTCTCTATTTGAACTCGGCGGCCATATACATACTCATGGAATTTATTACATCCATAAACAATTGCAAGAGTTTCTTTCTCGATCTGCGGATATCGTTGTTGTGTTTGAGTAAGAGCACGTGAGGCATACGCAACTGGTTTCTGATTTTGTATCAGTACAGCTCCAAGTCCTTTCGAACTAGCATCAACACTGAGTGTAAGCGGTTTGTTTGGATTGTAGTATTGAAGCAGTGGTGCATTTGTTGCCAATTCTTTCAACTTCTGAAAGCTAGTTTCTTGTTTTTCATCCCAGTGCCATATTGTGTTTTTCTCTAAGAGTGTTCTTAACGGTGGGTGCACTGACTGTTGACATATTTGGCATAAACTTGCCAAGATACTGAATAAAACCCATGAAGGTTTGCAGATCCTTGACGCACTCCGGTTTTGACATTTTATTGACTGCACGTATTTTTTCTGGGTCCTGTTTCACGCCTTCACTTGTTAGACGGCGTCCAACGTATGTTACTTCCAGTTTGCTGATTTCGCATTTTCCGGCACTGAGTTTCAAGTTGTATTCTCGCGCTCTGTCTAGAACCTGTTTAAGACGCATATCATATTCTTTTTGGTCTGATCCCCAAATAAGAATGTCGTCGATAATCGCTTCTGCTCCTTCTATGTAGGATACCATTTCAGACACAATTTTCTGGAATACTTCCGATGCTGAATTTATTCCAAAAGGTAAACGAGCAAATCTATAGCGTCCACATGGTGTATTAAATGTGCATAGCTTTGAGCTAGGTTCGTCTAGTTGAATATGCCAAAATCCACTGGTGGCATCCAGTTTACTAAAGACTTTAGCGTTCGGCATTTACGAGATAACGTCTTCTATGGTTTTTAACGGATAATGTCCACGTAATATTGCCTTGTTTAGATCACGTGGATCAATGCAGATTCGAATTTTGCCGTTTGGTTTAATGACAGTAACCATTGAGTTGACCCATTGTGTAGGTTCTTGCTGTTTGAAGATTACACCAATGTCCTCCATACGATCAAGTTCAGCTTTGACTTTGTCTTTGATAGCTATGGGTATCTTACGCGGTGCGTGTACAACTGGTGCTACGGTTTTGTTGATACGTATCTTATGTGTTCCTGGTAGACACCCTAGGCCTGTGAACAAATCTCCATATTGTTGTCCCAGTTTTTCTGGTAAAAATGGTTTTGTCGTTTCTTGCGGATTGCTGGTCTGAGTGATTGAATGTATGCGCTTTAGGAGTTTCATCGCTTCGCATGTTTTGGCACCTATGACGGATTGTACATTACGATCTACAATGTGAAATTTCACGGCATGATCCTGGCATTTATAACTACACCTAAGATTGATTACTCCGACAGTGTCAATGATGTGTCCTGAGTATGAACGGAGTGGTGAAACTTGTTTTGTGATGATAGGATGCGAGCAAATGGTTTTCAGTTTGTGAAGGGAAATTACGTTGCACTTTTCACCTGTGTCTAGCTGAAAGTTAACTGGTACGTCGTTGACGTTGATTGTTTCGGTCCATTCATCGGTATTCAATTCTGAATCATCAATTGTAGCAACAAAAAGTTCATCATCATCAGATTCACTGCATATGTCTAAAGTGTGCATTTTCTTTGATGATTTGTTTGATGACAGACATACGGACGCAAAGTGGTTATATTTATGGCATTTGTTGCACTGTTTCCCAAATGCAGGACATTTTCTACGCTCATGTTTACCTCCACAGTTTTTGCATTTGTTTGCGAAATTGGGTGATTGCCCCTTGTTATTTTGAGGTGGTCCCCTTTGTGGTGTGTATTGCTTGCCATACTTTTTACCTGATGTAAAATTATTTGATCTTGATCCTTGTTTGTTAAACATGTTGATGGTTTTATCTTCGCTTTCCATAGTTTTAAGTTGTGCCTTTGAAATTTCATAAGTTCTAGCGAAATTTATAGCCTTTTCTAACGAGAGATCGGACCCTTCAGTAATTTTTCCCGAACTTTGTGGTCTTTAGTTCCAAAAACAATGGCATCACGGACCATTTCCACCGACGTCGCATATCCACAATCTTTTACCAATATTTTAAGGTCGGTGAGGTATTCTTTGAAAGTGTCAATGTCTTAATGTACACGGCTTGAAAAATTGTATCGTGAATAGATCTTGTTTGATTTAGGGCGGACGTGTTTTTCAAAGTTCTGATAGTACACTTCGAGTTTCTTTTTGTCATCTTCCGAGAGATCCCAGCTTGAATATATGTCCCTACTTTTGTTGCCTATCCATATCATTAGATAGTTACATTTTTGAAACCTATAACTATATGCCTTTTGGTTTTTTTTACGTACATTTGTGTCTCCTTGACGTATACCCTACATCTGTTTTTATTACGGTTAAATTATGTAAGTTCGTATAATCAAATTGTATTTTAATTGCACGTCTTTCATTCTGAAGTGTTGAATATGCAAAACGATTATATAACAGTATCTAAAGCAGCATTCATATTGTATTTTCTTCTTTTTTAAATGATTTTCATAAATGTCTCTTACTACGAACTTATATGCTTGGTTAACCATTTGGTTACATGGAATTAAGAATCTAGTCGTTATATATAGGTTTTCATAATTTTTATGAGTGAATATATTAAGCATTCTTTTGTATGATGGTTTTAAACCTGTGTAAAGATAAATATATGCATGTTTCAATATTATTTTTTTTTGTAGGTTTGTCCTATAACTGTGGCTTTGAACAAGGACAAGAGTGTATTTTCCAAAATATTCTAGGCGACAATTTTGACTGGACTTTAGGTCATTCAGTAAGTATTATTCAGAATATGAACTAAGGTTATGTAGGAGTATGTAAGATTCCATATAACATTAAGATATTTCCTCCAAATTTGTATAAACGATCGAAGATGAATGTCTGCCTTTGTCTCTTAAATAAAACAAATAAAAAAGTTGATGAACTTGTGATCAACATTTTTTAATTCATTTTGAAATATCAGATAATCAGTACAATTTTTAACCTTATTTTGTACTTAATTTTCCGTCGTGTTGTTCATGTAAGTGATGTCTGATTCGGTAGGTCACATTCGAAGGAAAGAGGACGGGATTGTAGTTATCTGTCGTCATCATTAATTTTTACACTATATGTGATATGGAATGAAGTGATGAAAACATAATCAAAAGAGAAGGAAAAGTAATCATTAATTATTTGATTTCTTAATAAGTTAAACCTTGACCTTTTGTAACAGTTCACTCTAATGACTTCTTATCATTTATTTGTATTCGCAGGTTTTTTGGTCTACTAGTATAAAAAGATATTACATTGTTTTTTTGTCAATTGTGAACTGATACCAGTAGACATGTCTTTAAAATGACGACTACAAAATATTGAAAAAGATGTTACTAAATTGTAAAACTTGTATCTGATCCATTTGTCGTTTTGAACCAAAAAAATATGTTTAAACTAAAAAAAATAGAAACTAAAGCTCGAATTATTTCGTCCAGAAAACACATGTTTACCAACAGCCAATTTACTAATGGTAGGAGATGTAATATCTCTCTTGCCAGTAAGTTTGATTCATAAACAGTCCATATCAAGAACCAACCCCCCCTCCCCCCCCCCCCCCACACAGACATAAATTATCTTGGTCGTATTTGGCATAAATATTTGGAATTTCGGTTTTTAATGTTCTCCAATCTCGTTTTTTGTATTTACCCTTACAACTGTTTTGATTCGAGAACCTCTGATGAATCTGAAGACAAAACGACCGTCGGGCGAAACAAATTGGTATCTTGGATGAGCTTTAGTAAACCATTGGGTTGGTGTAGCTGGTAGACGTTTCTTCGTCGATGGTTTTACCAGTCCATTAGTCAGCATCTTTATGTTGACAAACAAAATCCTTTATATTTTTACTTTGTACATGTACTGTTTTTAAAAGAGAGGAAAAAGATACCGAAGGATTAATCAAACTCATAAGTGAATTTTAAGTTACAATGCCAAAGCAAAACGAAAAACGACGAAAAGACAAGTAATAAAAGTGTAGTTATTCAAAACACTAAGGGTTTTCTACCCCCGGGCAAAATGAACTTAGTCGTATTTAACACAACTTTTCAGAATTTTCTGTTTTTGTGCTCTTCAACTTTGTATTTGATTTTGTCTGCCTACTGATGTCATTCGATTCGAGCCCTACTAATGAGTCTAATATAGACAGTGGCGTACAAAATTTTAAGTCCAGTATCTTTGAGGAGTTTTTCAAGAATTCTGATTTTTGGCGTCATTTTAATTTCTTAATGACAAACTGGATCCCTGTATCATTAAACTGACAATGTGTATCTGTTTGACATTTACCAAACAACGGTCTGTATCCTTATGTTCCTTATTCAATCCTACATACAGAAATAAATGAACTTTTACTATTTATAACATTTATCATAACCTCGATATGGTTATTGTCCCCATTTCAACATGTGAGCATTTAAAAGCATATCAATTTTGTTATGTCCATAAGGCGAATACACTTTTGAATCATCTGTTGGAATGGGTAATTTGACCTTATGATGTCTTTTGATGTTTATGTGTATCTTGTTGTCCTTTTTCACATAGACCTGAAATCTCATTGTATACATTCAAACAAATTATATAATAAATTTGTTTTGCATGCACACGTATAAAAATTGTGGTTTTTATCCAACGCAATCATAGGTTTGAACGTTGTTTTCAATTTAGACTTGTTTATATTTTTTCGTTTGTATTATATTTGCCTTTGGGTTTATATGATCCGTTCATCCTTTTTCGACTCTTCAAAATTCAAGAGTCTATCCTAAATTGAGGTAAATTATAATGGCCTTCCAAATACCGTTTCGATTCCAAACATCACTGAAGAGACATTGATTGTCGAAATCCGGATATGGTGTACTAATTTTTGCACCTCATATTTGCGGTATACCATCTTTTCCGCAAGTTTATTGTTTTCTGTTTGGTATTAAATTAATAATTTTTAAGATCCATTTTGTTACATCTTGTGGTACGTTTATTTGGCAATCGCCAATGGCAGTCAGCAGGGTTTAAAAACATCTGTTGTTCGACCTGTTAGTCAAATGCGTTTTGTTAAAATATACTTTTTCACTTTTTTGGTCTTTTGGAAAATGTTGTTTGTGCTGTATTTAGACCCCTCAACCAAGAAATTTGTTTTGCATGCACACGTATAAAAATTGTTGTTTTTATCCAACGCAATTATAGGTTTGAACGTTGTTTTCAATTTAGACTTGTATATATATATATATATGGAGAGAGAGAGAGAGAGAGAAACCTTAAAATTTTTCCAACAAATATTCTTGTTAAAAAACAGGGTCCAACAAAGAGCAGAAAAACAGGCCCTACTAATGCATACTCTGGGAGCCAGTATGCGTATATTGAAGTATCTAGAAAAAAAATCAATGATTTGGCAGTTTTGTCCTCTATTAATACAGTGCTTCCCGGTAAGTAATTTCACAATGAAATGGTTTGTAAATAATCGTATCTGGATATCTCAGTGTTTCAGTAAACTTTTTCAACAGCATTGCAACTAGTTAGTCAAAGCAGTAAAGTTTGTTTTCATCTTAAATCAAAAACTGTTCAATACACATTGAATTTTTAATGTATCCATTAATTTGATGATAGTATAAACTTAATGTTATACATCTGTAAATTGTTACTTAATTTTGTTGATTGTAGCTTCTACATTTTGTCTACGATTTTACTATCACATGTATGGACGTCATATTGGATCGCTTTCCGTGTTTACACAGGAAAGAGACACAGGAACTTGGTCTTTAGATTGGGATCTGTCTGGCAATAAGGGAAACCAATGGTACCTTGCAAGTGTGGACATTCCTTACCACTTCGACCTTGTTGTATGTATTATTAGAATATATTTTATTAATTTTTATTATTCTGTGCCCAGTAAACACTAGCATGAGATTCACAATTTTAATGAATACCTGCAATTATTTCTCCTGCAATGCGCGTCGTCAGTATATGTACTTGTCCGTTCACCTTTTTACACCTCGTACAAATCAATCTATAAAGCATGATTGACTTTGAAAAAAAAATATAAACAATACTAATATCGATTGAATAAATGTCCCTGTTGATTTTTTTTATAATTGTTAAACTTATACATGTATTGAGATATTTTACTTACTCAACCTTTTTTGAAGCCATCCAGCTTCTTCGAATTATAAACGTTTTGGTTCTGATAAAACTTTGTTTGCAAAAAAAAAGTTCAAATTGGTAAGAATGCAAAATTACTTTTGTAAAATTTTATTGATCTGGAAATTGCATTAGACCTGTCAAAAAGTGAAATGTTCTTTTTTCGATGTTTATGATTATTTTTGTCTCTCACTGTCAGTTGTGTTTGATTTCATATGACCCGATTTACCTCGAATTATACAAACACTACTTACATGTTATGTTATCTGCATTTCCTCCAAGATGTTAAAAACAAAAATAATAGCTAACAACTTTTGGGCATATTGTTATTTTCAGGTTGAATTTGAAGCTTCAAAGGGAGCAAGGAAGAGCAAAGGTGACATCGCAATTGACGAAATAACGCTCACGAACAATCCATGTTAGCCGTTGAATAGAAACAAGTGCTTGTAATGTAGTTAAAACACCCTTTAGACTTCGATACACTAACTAATCACTTCTGGGGGGATGCCCAAGATAATCAATTGTGCAGTCTTTTTTCATTAATTTTCCATATTTATTAATATATGTGTTCCGTTACTATTTTTAGAAAATTCTGTTTAATATAAATGCGTATGAATGGAAGGTAAAGGCATTGGGGAGGCACATAATTAAGCCAAAAAGTCACCAATTTGGAAAAAAGTATTTTTTAAGTAGAATGTAGAAAAAAGATTAAAATTAAGAAGTACATTTGAGTATTCTTACTTACTTCCAACAATTAATGATCAAAATGACAAAAATGAGGATTTTTAAAATTCTATTTTATGCATTTTCAGTTCAAATTCTGCTTATTGATTTATATAATACAACTGCAGTTGTGCTATTCATTGATTCTAGTGTGACATTCTGACACATACCTTTGAAATCTGCTATATAATGTTTTTTGTCAATTTTAATATCTTTTTTAAAATAAATATCTTTTGCATCATTTTCTTTTGTTATTGTAGTTTCATTCATACGGATAAGTTGTATTCCCTCGCAAAAAGACATTAGTACTGCAGCCGCCTGACCTTCATAAGAACGTAAGCCCATTTCATACTTCTGTTATATATATATTAAACATTTGCCTTTGGCAATTCCTTATTTTACTATAATAGCCCGGTTGCAAAGGTTTAATACAATACTCTCGGACATTTCGCAAAGGATTGTTCTGAAGAAACAAAACTTCTTGTCCATTGAATGATCTTTTCTGACTAATAATTAAAGAAACTTTTTTCTTAAGGTCATTATTTTAACTATTGTTAATCAATTTGTAATTTGGAAGGATTAATATAGTAAAAGCCATTTGCAACCACACCTGGAATTGATGATACATTTAATCAAAGTACTGAAGTACTGAACATCGGATGACCGCAGGTTCTTGTGTATGGTCAAAAGCACATGTCACAGAAACAGATCACATCTCTATACCTGAAACTGAGGTTAATTTACAGAGATTTTTTTTTCTGATACAAGTTTCTGCTTGGATGATGAATAAATGACAGGAAATTCAACCTCACCGTAATAACTATTATATTGTAGTGATACAAATCAGTATACCTTAGACTATTATACTAATATAATAATAGTTCCTGAGAATACACTGGTTTGTTGTTATATATTATATTAATATTACGGTTGCATGTATATATAATTTTCATCTATTTGTATATCATTCTATTCTACTATTATTATAGTGCAGTGCAAGTGCATGGTGGACACTCTTCTGAAAAAAAAATCAAAGCCTTAAAGGCTGTAAAAGCAATTGCTGCCATGTTAATGTTTTGTGGACTTTTATTTTTCATCGATATATATAAGAATTAAACCTGACAGGACAGGAGTGTTGACTAATGAGAAGCAAGACGGTTTTAACTTTATATCAATAAAAGACTTTAGCAGGAAATCATTTTAAATATGTTTTATATTTCACAAGGAGACAACAAGTTTACCAGGCTAAAGTTGGGGTTAATTATACATGTGCTGAAACATATAACTAAAAAAAAAATCATTATGGATTATCCCCTGGTAGTGTTTGTAACTGGGCAATAATTTCCTTTATTGATTTAATTTTAACAATTTTCATAATTAATTTAAATTAACCATTCAGTTAAAACATTTCAACTTTCCAGACGCAAATGTTGAAAAACGGGCAAGAAATAAAATATCTTACAAGACATAAACATGTAAAAAATAAATATATATTTCAGCTTACTTAAAATATTTTCAAAATGTTACTTTGACATCATTTCTTAAAACTAAGTCCCAAACATAATTGCTCAGTTGATATGTGTCATCCTCATGCGATACGAGTTAACTATAATTCTGATGCAATCACGAAAAGGGGGGTCATCACAAACAAACATGACATTAAATTGTCATTATACAAACAGCTCTATGTTGCTTAGATATTTATCAATTTTCAGGAAACATGTGAAATAAATTTCAGGTCCATTTCATTATAGTGCCTAACAAGATTGTGTGAGGTAGACGAAATTGACCTTAAAACGATCGTATTGTCTTTTGATGTCCAAAAATAGGCAGATCGGACATATAAGGACTTTATCTAATGACTACATAAATTTGGGATTTATTATTATTATAATATTCTAATGAAACTGAAAATTGTATTTTTTTGTTAGGATAAACAACAATTTTACCTGGCGTAGCCGTGCGTAAAATGTTTTTCTGCATTTATCTTCGAAAAATGGCGTATTCAATAGAATAGAACGTTAATACAGTAAACTTTCTCTTTTTTCTCCGCAATGGGCTATCAAAAATAATTTATCTAATGTGTATGTGGAAAATTATGTGAAAAGATAAAAAGTGGCAATTGTTACCTTTCATACCTTTAGTTTCATTCATATGCCGTTATTATTGTTGTTGTTACCAATTATGTAAATCAATTGTATCTGATTTTATGCCCTTTATGGGCCCTGTAATTTGGAAAATAAAAAAAAAATCTATTCATTGATAAAACGTAATATGGACTGGTCCAGTGTCCAGTTTGCAGGTCATTTAATTTATTGTACACAATCATGCACGCTCTGATTTAATCAATATACTCGTACGAAAAAGCATGAACAGTTTGAAGGTAATCTAATAATAACTTAATCCAATCAAATTGCATAAGATTCAATAACAATGTCCAGTCCACATCATAATGAGTAATAGGGGTAAACTGGGTAGGGAGAAAATGACAGATATTTCAAGTTAATATTTATGCAATAACGAATTAAAATTTGTCAACCAAAAGTTTTGCTACAATTTCAAAAACATGTCGTTCTGTATGGGTATAGTTTTCGGATCTTTCATTAGCGTATTTAAGGCTATAAAAAGTTTGGGCTTCAAAAGTTCACACAATTATTGACTTTATACAGAAAATTCGTCCTTGTAAAACATTTAATAGTTCACAAATGATACGCGATTTTAAAGTAAAATTATTTCTTAAAACACTGCAAAAAATTTCATTCATATTGATAAAGTGGTATCGTCATCAAGTGCGTTGAAATGAACAGTGGTATAGCAAACATCAAATTCCCTCACAAAAATGTTATCACACACTATAGTAAGGGGAGTCAGTTAAGTTTGTTTATTTTTAGATTACAGGTAATCATTTGACACTACGTTTACAACCTGTGTGACCTGTGTAGTGATTTTGATTTTACGATAAATTCATGAATGAATGAACGATAATTTTATGAATGAACATGAGCACCTGACCTCTTTCTTAAACACTAATTAAACATATAAAACCGTATTTAATAAGGAGATAATTCAGTCAAATTTTCAGTACTAAATCAACAACTGAAATGATTCCATTTTTTTATGAAACATCGTACGAACGGAGAACGGAATTGCAGGTATAAAAATGCACTTTTTTCCCTTGTAATGACCGCGGATCTATAATTTTTGTAGATCGGTTGAAATCCCAAAACTAATTTGCATAATGGAAATTTAGGCGATAGCAATACATCGGATTGACCTCAAGGTCATCCTCTGTAAAAATCGCTTCAAACACATAGTTCCCGTTTCTGTACACAGAACGATTGTTTTCCGGAATACATGTTACCTTCATCCGGTATGCTCGAGAAAAAAAGTTTAGAAAAAATGTTTTGATAAGAGACCTTACCGGAATTAAACATAGGCTTCATCGTGAGTATAAATAATATATTTGACCACCAAAATTCATATTTAATTTCTGAGAAATGCTGTGAATATATTTCAGACACATCTTTGATTTACCTTTACTTTGATTTTATGATCCCCATTTTAG